CTTACTGCAAAGACCCGTGTCTTTTATTGTAGGTAGAATCTCTTTGACAGAGGTCGGAAGTCAGAGGATCAACCGCCCAAGCCTCACAACTTCATGCTTGCACCCCCACGCTCAGAATGCCTGTTCGCCAAACGTGCTATCGTTTCGACATGTTTCGACAGAACTTAGGGCCTCATTACACCCGCCCGGAACAGCATGAAAGCCGCCGCTATCTTCAGGCTCAGTCCTCTACTGCTTACTGAGTAGTGGCAACTGAGAACCTACGAAGACAACCACGCGCCTCCTGTGCTTGGTCGTGAATGCCATTCATGGCCTCAGGGACACGGGAATGAAAGTAACATTCAGGAGCCAGTGCAAAAGCGCCCCCAAAAGTGAAACGGCATATCCTGTTTTGATAGCTCGTCAGCCCCGACCGTAAACTCCCTAAACCGCCAGCCGAAAGCCTCTCATCTTAAACTGTCGACTTGAGATTGGGCTTACTACAAGTAGCCGACCACCCGGTTCGCCAACAAGTTCCTGGTTTAGCTCCAAGACGAATGGTCAACGGTCACTACATCTAGTCGCCATCGTAGTTCCGGTTTGCGGTTCACGTAGCAAAGGTGAGGTTTAGGATCTTATAAAGGGGTTGTAGACCTAAGCCCTTACTGCAAAGACCCGTGTCTTTTATTGTAGGTAGAATCTCTTTGACAGAGGTCGGAAGTCAGAGGATTAACCGCCCAAGCCTCACAACTTCATGCTTGCACCCCCACGCTCAGAATGCCTGTTCGCCAAACGTGCTATCGTCTCGACGGAACTTAAGGCCTAATTACACCCGGAACCTTATGAAAGCGGCCCCTATCTTCAGGCCCCAGTACTCTACTGCGTCCCGAGTAAGTAGTAGCAACTGAGAACCTGCAAAGACAACCACGCGCCTCCTGTGCTTGGTCGTGAATGCCATTCATGGCCTCAGGGACACGGGAATGAAAGTACCATTCAGGAGCCAGTACAAAAGCGCCCCCAAAAGTGAAACGGCATGTCCTGTTTTGATAGCTCGTCAGCCCCGGCCGTAAACTCCCTAAACCGCCAGACGAAAGCCTCTCATCTTAAACTGTCGACTTGAGATTGGGCTTACTACAAGTAGCCGACCACCAGATTCGCCAACAAGTTGCTGGTTTAGCTCCAAGACGAATGGTCAACGGTCACTACATCTAGTCGCCATCGTAGTTCCGGTTTGCGGTTCACGTAGCAAAGGTGAGGTTTAGGATCTTATAAAGGGATTGTAGACCTAAGCCCTTACTGCAAAGACCCGTGTCTTTTATTGTAGGTAGAATCTCTTTGACAGAGGTCGGAAGTCAGAGGATCAACCGCCCAAGCCTCACAACTTCATGCTTGCACCCCCACGCTCAGAATGCCTGTTCGCCAAACGTGCTATCGTTTCGACATGTTTCGACAGAACTTAGGGCCTAATTACACCCGCCCGGAACAGCGTGAAAGCGGCCCCTATCTTCAGGCCCAGTCCTCTACTGCTTACTGAGTAGTGGCAACTGAGAACCTACGAAGACAACCACGCGCCTCCTGTGCTTGGTCGTGAATGCCATTCATGGCCTCAGGGACACGAAAGAAAGATCAAGGATCTATAGCCCGCGAGGTGAGCCGTACCTCCCTTGTAGTTCCTTGCGTGATGAATGCTTTTGAAGCAGGTTTAAGTTTAAGGTCTCGATCTTACAGGAAGAGCAGGGTCGCAGCCCTACACCTTAAGAACAAAGATGTATAGTAACCCGTGTAGTAAAACACTAAACCGATCGCGAAAACCAGGTCCTTCGACGAGGTCCGAAGCCTGCTGGGCTCTGAAACAAAAACCCTAAACCCCGAAACCCGACACCCCTAAACCCCTGAACCCTAAAGCCCTAAACCCTAAACCCCTAAACCCTAAACCCCTAAACCCCTAAACCCTAAACCCCTACACCCCTAAACCCTAAACCCCTAAACCCTAAACCCCTAAACCCCTAAACCCCTAAACCCTAAACCCCTAAACCCTAAACCCTAAACCCCTAAACCCCTACCTAAACCCTGAATCCTAAACCCTAAACCCCTAAACCCTAAACCCCTAAACCCCTAACCCCTAAACCCCTAAACCCTAAACCCCTAAACCCTAAACCCCTAAACCCCTAAACACTAAAACCTAAACCCCTAAACCCCTAAAACCTAAACCCCTAAACCCTAAACCCTAAACCCTAAACCCCTAAAGCCTAAACCCTAAAGCCCCAAGCCGAGCCGAAGATGACCAAAGCAAGCTGAGACATCCCCAGAGCTGGAGATTTACCAACTGCGGCTTCCTGTTAGGATGCTAAAGGGAACTCCAGAAAAACAGGGGACCCTAGTATAGTACCCTAAGTAGTAGGATCCTTATTATAAAGACCCCAAATAACGTACCCCTAAAGGGAACATTTAAGGTATGTTCCTTAATAAAGGGATCTTGGAAGGTCTGGGCAGCTATCAGGAGAATTCCCAAACGGGCTTAGGGTTTAGGGCTTAGGGTGTTAGTGCTTAGGCACTAAAGGGAACTCCAGAAAGTTGGAATATGGCTTAATGGTAGGATCCCGTATAATTTACCTTAAAGGGGTTACGATAATGATATTCCAACTTTCTGGCGTCTACTGTACCATCAAAGGGGAAAAGTACCCTATAATGGAGCCTTAGTTTAGGGCTCTTAGGGTTCCTTTGAAGGGATCTATAAGGGTTTAGGGTTTAGGGGAAAAGGAGGGACTCTTAATGGGGACCCTACCATATAATGGGGCTATATACTGGGGAATATTAGCTATATTAAGGGTATATACCTAGGGGTCCTTATTAAGGGTCCCTCCTTTTACCCTTGGATACCAGGTACCACCATGCTAGAGTCTCTATGCCAAAGATCTTTTCAGATATTTCCCGCGTACGCCCGCATAGGATATGACACCGCCTGAAGGCCAGCAGCCGTGGATTCTGCCCAGAATGTCTGAAACCCATACCTTAGGCCTGAAACCCTAGGCTTGACAGCCCACAAGTCTGCAAAACCTCATGCCAATGATGTCATGAGGATTTTCTGAGTATCGGACCATCTTGAATCAGGGCGAAGTTCAAGCCCCAGATCCAAAAAATGGCTGTCAAGCAAGGCACTTCCTGGAAATAGACACTTCAAGCACACATCGTCATTTCTCAGATGTTGTTCAGTTTCAGCCATAGTGTAGTTGAGGTCAATGAGATGGGCACGTTGGTTGTGTGACTAGTGATTGCGTGTTGAAAGTTCTCAATCAAAGTTCTCAATCTAAAGTTACGTGCTTCCGACAGACTGGGTCTTCACTCCGCATCCTGCAAAAACTGCCAGTGACAAGTTCATTACCAGCTCAATCGAATCAATGAAGGGATTTAGGGCCACTCATGACCAGCTCTGACTAATCAATGAAGGGGTTCACGGCCATCATCAACATCATCAGCAACTGCCTACCCAGAACCCTAACCCCTGAACCGGTCATCGACATCCTCGGCCACTACATCTTCTCCTCTCCATTCCTGTCTCTGACTGTCAAGATCCTCCAAAAGGTCCTTAACCCTAAACCCAAGAGTAATCTAGGAATAAAAAGGGTGCCCTTTTTGGTTTAAAGGGGCTTATAGGAGAACCTGAACCCTCAACAAAGGGAATAAGGGCCTACTCTGGGTCCTAGTAACCCTAAACCCTATCTCGATCCCTTTTCTTACCTTCAAGACCCTTCCGATGCTCCTCTTCTGCTCCTTCCTTTCCCGCCTCCTTATCAGCATCATCAGACTACAATCTGACGGAACATAAGCATCATCATTAGGGCCCCAAAAAAGCACATGAGCAAAAATTAGGATAGGGATATCCCATATAAACCCCCTTATAAAGAAGCCATCATCATCATCATCATCACCATCATCAACCATCATCAAGGTTTAGGGGACTCATCCTCACCATCAGCAGTAGCATCTAATTGTGCAACTTGCTTCACAGGGCATACCAAGGCCCCAGCACCCGAACTCTTAACCCCAACAATCAATTCTACAACAACTCTTTGCAGCTCTTGTCGGCGATTCCGGTGAGCGTACTGTACAGAAGGACCGCACCCGAAGCTTGCGGCCCAATTCCAAAGCTTAAAGCTTTGACGGTTCTGCTGGGTTTGGAGATGCTGTTGAGGACATAAATCCTGCATTACCTTAATGACCCTAGACTATGGAAATTATGGCATAGTCCTTGCCATGGGTAATGCAGGATTTGTATCATGAACCCTATACCCTAAACTCTATAGGTCCCTTAAAGGAGCCCTTGAAGGTACCCTTATAGATGCCTTTAAAGGAACCCCATAGGATTTATATGAGGTTCGAGGCCTAGACTTTCGACATGTCGGGTTGGTTTGGGGGAGATCTGGGCTCTCAATTGGTTTTAGGGTTTAAGGGTTTAGGGTTTAGGGGTTCAGGGGTTTAGAGTTCAGCGTTTAGGGGTTTAAGGTTTGGGGGTTTAGGGTGTGGGGGTTTAGGGTTCAGGGGTTTAAGGTTTTGGGCTTTAGGGCTTAGGGTTCAGGGGTTTAGGGGTTTTTGGGTTTAGGGTCGGCTGAGCGTGCGAGAGCCTAATCACAGGTGTGCACACCTTGCGGCGGGGAGGGGGGGGGGGATCCTTTTGACTAAGGAGACCAAAGTCCTAAAAAGACCGGAGTCCCAAGGAGACCGGGGTCCATTTAGGTACGGCCCCCATAGAGTAAGAGTCTATAATGGGGCTATTATTAAGGTCCTACCATATCTATATTAAGAATATTAGTCAGCTATTACTGAGAATCCATAAACAAACCCTTTCTCAATCCGCAAAACCCGTAGAGCACACTCGTGACGAAGCTTCGCACATCTTTACGAAGACCTTGTTAAGACTCCCATAGGGCAAAGCTAGTATAAGGGACCCTGAAGGGACTATCATAGGGATCCATTCCCAAAATCCCTGCTAAGAACCAGACAGAAGAACCCTCTCTGGGAAGCTAAACCGCTGTTTCCTCAGGGTGCTCAGGCGCAAGAGGCGGCGTGGGGGTCGGTGGCGGAGCCAGGATGCTGAGAAGCCTCTCCGAACGGTACAAAGACGTTGTGGGATACTTCCCCAAACCATGATAGTAGTTATAACTAGGGTTATAAGTAGGATAGCTGTACTTAGAACCTATATTAGGGTCCTAGGTATTGTTGTTTGGGATACCTCCCCAAACTATGATCGTAATTCCTCATTCAGAAAACCGACATTCGACTATGTAGGTACTTTGAACCCTGTTAGTTTACGAGCTTCTTCAGGATCCCCATGGAGAAATGGAGGGGGCAGGAAAGCAGTGCCTCGGTCCGTGTATGAAAAAATAATACATAATCGTACATGTATATACCATGGTTCATGGGTAGTTATAAGTAGGGATATAAGTAGGATAACTATAGCTACAGCCCATACTACCCATGAACCTCCAAGTACATGCATATGCATTCATGGATGCACATACATATGTATGCGCACATGCACATGCATATTATGTATATATGTGTAAAGACATTAGATTGAATTCATGTTTATGCTTATGCGGGTCAAATATAGCTCTCTGGGTAGGCACTGAATGGGGGGTGTTGATCGCGCAGGGCATGCTCAGAACATCTCGACACGGTTTCACAATTCTTGAGGACCCTGGCTTCTGGCTGTCGTGGGACGGTCGGGGGAAACAGACTTGATTGCGGTGTTCCATAGGATTGCATGCGTTCTGAAATTTCAGTGCTTTAAACGTCGGGTGTGAGGGAGAGAATGCCGGGTGTAGGCACCAGCACTCCGGGTTCAGCGTGGAAGGCTTATGCATGTTGAAGGTCTAGCATGCAAGTCATGCGTCTTCTCCCGTGATCGTCTGCGATGCTTGTACTGCCGTGCTGCTGCCACCATCACTACTACCACTCGAAGCCGGTATTTTGAGATTGATTATGGCTTGGGTTTTAGGGCTTGGGGTTTAGGTTTTCCAGAATAATGATGCTGTTTCGCCCCTTGCAGGCATGTCTAGCAGCCGTGCATGGGATTTGCGCCCAAGACTGTACGCCCTAGCCCACAACCCGAATCCACATATCCCCAAAACCCCAATCGCAAGGTGCCTGTCAAGCTTCTCTTCGATCTTGTCCTGACAAACTAGCAGCGCAAAGACATGGAAACCAACAAGACGAGAGTAGATCTGAATCAGGGTAATACGGTTGATGGTATAAATCCTGCATGACCCATAATAAGGAATATACCATACTTCCCATAGTTTGGGGTCTTTCAGGTAATGCAGGATTTATATCATCAACCGTATCATACCGGCACGCTGCTGCTGCTATTGGAAGCGGTATAACTCGACGAAACCCAACTGCCGAGTTCTAATTGCATCATAGCCTTGCCTGCAGAAAGACGCCTGTTCCCCATCGGAGAGACTGCCGATGCATGGCTTGGGTTCAGTTTTTGTGCGTGCAAGTCCAGGGTCTCCTGCTTAGGGCTACGAATCAAACTCTAGTAGCCGCACAAACCCTAAACCCCTAAACCTTAAAGCCGTGTTATAGGGCTTTGTCAGGCTTCTGGTTGATGGAACTACTATCGCTGCTGGTTCGCGACTCAAGACTTGGCTTCGGTGCTCAGACATACTTTGATGAACTACCGTAGTTACTTGTTTGGTAGGTTCTTCTTACAAGCCTCATGCAGACCGTATAGGGGTCCCACAAATCCGTAGACTTTGGGAGTTCCAGGTGCCCATATCTTATAAGTTAGGCTCGACCATGTAAACATTGTCCTGGGCCCTTAACTTAAAGTAACTTAAAGCCCCATATTTTGCGGCCCTAACTATTAGAGTGTTTTCGGGCGATGGTTTTTACTACTGTATCACTTTTTCTAGGAGCCCTAGGGAATAGCATCATACCCTAAACCCAGTCCTTTGTGAGGGGAACTCGCTCCTCACTGCTGGCATCACGTGTTCGGGCTGCTTTGCCTCGGTGCGCCCGGACTTCTCAGGGTTTAGGGCTTAGGGTTCAGGCGATTAGGGGTTTAGGGTTTAGGGGGTTGAGGTTTGGGGGATGGTCTTGCAGAGAGTCAAGCCTGATGTTCTACTTGTTGTCATTTCTCTAGTTAAGCTCAGGGTGACCGACAGGTAGCATTGGAAGTAGCTCCGCCCTGCTATGTGCCACTACCTCTCTTGTTAGTCCTGGTCTGAGTGTATATGAACCGAAGCCGCGCAAAGGAAACTGTGGTCATCTTATCGTCAAAAGCTGGATATCAAGAAACACAGACAGTCACTTCGCATAACAAGGCTGCACAAGCTTCACAACTTACAGCATCTGCGGCGAATATCCTACAGTACCCTAACAACCCGAAGCCACCCTAATCCCCGTCTGGCAAAAGCGTCATATGAAGCGTAGGCAAGAATCCTAATGGCTGTTGTAGAGGATTATGTAGAAACAAAATTTCGCTTATTCAGTCCTGCATCCACCCCGCTTATTCAGTCCTGTATCCACCCCATGGTTTCGATAAACCAGCCCCACCACAACGTGCACCATCCATCTGTCATCCTGGCCTTCATTGCACATCACCGTCCTTCTCCCATCACAATCAACATGTATCATCAGGGTTTCTTGTGGCGATAGCAGCAATTCATGGTGTGTGCGATAATCGGCCGAAAAGACGATGCTTTTACGAACGCCATTGCCATGATGCCCTATACACGTACTTTAAGAATACATGGAGCCTTAGGGTCATGCTCATCCCGACCTCAAGGTCGTCACCATCAGCATCATCCACTGGCAGATCAAGAGTCGCACTAGTAGGACCAATACACCTTGGGCATAGTCGTAGCGGGAGTGGCTGCGCATGCTACGACTTTACGGCTAGCACCGGCTCTGGTAGTTGTGTATAGGGGCCTTACGAATAAGAATAGGGTTTTGGGGGGCCGTCATCCTATGCTCATAATGGGGAACCCCGGAAAGTTCGGCCCCCCTAATTATTAGTAACATCGCCCGGCACAAAGTAAACTTGACAAAGTGACGCTCGCGGGACACGTCGTTTGGAGCCGCCTGCATGCTGGAAAAGCCGACAGCAGGATGTAGACTTTAGATTTAGAGCCCAAAGTACGTGCCATTTGTATACTTGGAGCTCTGGTTATGTTGCTTCAAGTAAAACTCCAAGGTTCGTTAGCTTCAATGCTCGGCGTAGGCGGCGCCCTAATTGAGGGCTTGGAAAGACATGCATATCAAGTCTGAGGTCAGTCCTGGTGCAATCTGTTAGGCATCAGGGTTTAGGGTTTAGTGTTTTTAGGGATTTGGGGTTGTAGAGTCTTGGGGTTTCAGGGTCTAGGGTTTAGGCCCGGGATTTAGCTTTGGCATGCAAAGACAATTTGGTTGAGGATTGATGGTGCAGGGCCGCATGCCATGGTTGGTTCTCACTCACGATGCAACGGGTATCCTCTGCGAGACGCGATGCTTGATACCTTGCCTATAGCTCCGAAATATGCTGCTCCCACGCATGTTATATAACTGAATAATTATGACTATCATTCAAGCCTTGGCCAGGCACCCGAAGCCTCAATCCTATACCGGAGATTCGCAGCCTCGACATCTCGTCCACAAATCTCGCTCTCGTCGCTCTCGCCCTCCTACGCGACTCTTCGGAATTCCGATGTCGATAAAATATGGGTGGTTGTCAAAATTAGGGGCCTTTTTGGGTCCCTAATATAGTACGGCACCTAATATTTAGGGTACCCAAAAAGGGACCATCATTTTGACAAGCACTCATAATATGGCTGCAGGTTTTGAGCTTAGCCACTCGGATTTAGACAAGGTTCCCGCTGTTCGTAACATCGAAACATCCTGGGAAATGCCTCAGCCGCTCAACCTAAAGTCCTGCATGTTCACTTCGGGATTTAGGGTTTTAGGGGTTCCTGGGACTATCGCAGGGATCCGTCAGAAGGGAAACTCAATCTAAAGGAGACTTGAGTCTCTTCTTCAGCCCATGAAACTATCCTACCCTAAGGGTCCATGTACCCATATAGAGATACAGTACATGGGCCCCAAAGTACCTATATAGGGGCTACATTAAGGCCGATGTATATACTATATGAGTACATGGACCCTTACAGCTACTGTGCGACCTGCACGTCAAGCCAAATTAGTGGACAAGAGCCTACTAGCTAAAGGCTTATACTTGGAGGTTCATGGGTAGTTATAAGTGGGGCTATAAGTCCCAATATGGGTTATAAGTCCCCTAATATTGGTTATAACCATGGTAATCCTACTTATAACCCTACTTACAACTACCCATAGCTAAAGGCTTGTACCCTACAGTTGTAGGATCACAGCCTTCGCATGGCCTACCAGCGCTATTTGCAGGGTTTGCGGCTGCGGGTAGACTTCGTGCCCTTAAGCCCTAAACCTTCAAACCTGAAATCCTAAACCTACCGCCCTCAAACCCTAAACCCTAAAACTCTTAACCTACGTAGGCTTCAGGCATCTTCAGGCTTTCGGCAAGGGTTGGGGTCTCCGAACACAAGGAACTAGAAGGATCGATCGGGAGTCTGGCCTTCATGTGATCGGGAGTCTGGCCTTCATGTACATATGTGCATATGCTGTATATGCACTCATACATACATGCATACATATGTCTCCAGACCTCTATCTATATCTGCATCTCTCTCTCTCTCTATATATATATACACAAACACTAAACAGGTCAGTAATGGGGACGTGATTGTATGTATATGTTGTGTATATACATGTGTATATATATATATATATGTGTATTTACCAATTTGTTTGTATCTATCTAACTATAATGTTTAAGTTACATGTAATTATGTGTTAGGAATCTCTGGTAATTAACACCCAGACTCAAAATCCCCCCAACTCAACGCTAAAGGACAGTCATAATGTCCTCTTTTTCTAGTCTATGGAATCCTACTTTACTGACCATGCCTAAAGCAAACTCTTACAGTTCTTGCGCGATGCCATTACGTATCTACTCCGAGAGAGGATTCTACAAGTAGCTCAGGCCCAATATCCGCGTTTACCCTGGGGCTCAAAGCATACAAGTAGAACCTGCTGTACTGTATACTTTGGGCTTTAGAATCTAAAGTCTATTATATAATACTACCTGCTTTGGGCCATCTGGAGCCTCAGCAATAATTCTCATGTAGATTAGCCCTTTGAAGCCTTTGGACAAAATCGTAAATAAGATCCTGATAAGCCAAATATATAATGTCCCAAAGGCATACCTAGTCATACGATCACGCATTCAAAAACCCCCATGTCCGAGTGAGGTCAGGCAGGGGTCCTCTTCGCTCTCTTCGCTCATCTCCTCCCCTTCCTGCAAGCTTCAAGGATCGTGGGAGATGCTTGAACATAAGGTTATAAGTGCACCAGTTATTGGGCTTATATTGTAAGCACTGATAAGCATATAGCTACCGTACTTATAACGCTACTTACTCAGGGTCATACCCATCCCTTCTTTTGAGGGTACCTAGTTTTCTATCTAGCGGGTCCTAAGCATCGAACTAGGTATCTTGGAAAAAGCGTAAGGTATGATCCTTCAGGTACCTAGAAGAGTTGGGGAAAGGGACTGTGGTGTACGTAGAGGCTTTCGGGGTTTTGAGTCTGCCAGTTGGGGATCTCCATAATAGTTTCTGGAGGATGGCACACGTTTTCAATGTAGGATGCCAGCCATAAAACACTCTATACTGTTGTTTAATTTCAAAGCATGAGCAACGTAAGCTTAAGCTTCGAATATCATGGCAGTTCATGGATAGTTACCTGATGCATGACCCTAGTTGATAAGTCCCCTGTCGTTGAAGCGAAGCTTCCCTGCAGCTATGTAAGCTTGGCAAGGTTTGGTATCTGAGCTTCGCGAGCCGTGGCTAAGGCAGACGAGACCCAAGTTTCGTGGTTTAGGGTGTCGGACCTTGAGCTGGGATGAGTCCTAAACGAACATCTCCGGTATTCGATGGCCCTTAACAGTAGAGGATCGAATGCAACATGAAGTAATGACAACGTGTCAAGGGCTGCAGGATTTATGGGGCGATAAGTCATGAGGACAGCTTAGAAAATACCCGTCCAGCCCACCTGAGAAGCTAGGACGGCGGCTACAACTTCAGAATCTTAAGAACGAGGAGGAGATAAGGATCCTTGACGCTTCTGAACATCATCGGCTTGTGGTGCTTTTGGGTCCTATAGGTCCTTAGGTCCGGTATCACGATTTTGTGGCGCTCGGGATATAGTAACAACAATAAGAATAGCGACGATACAAATCATGATAATCATCATACTCATTATAATTATGAAATTGAAACCCATCACAATTGTGAATGTGCATCTTAAGCAAGGATGCCTCCTCTTCCTCTTCCTCGTCCTCGTCGTCCGTAGCCTCCTCGCAACGCACGGCATCACAAGCACAAAACCATGACTCCCGAAGCCCTGAACCCTAACCCCCCCGACTTCAGCAAACAGCAGCTTCGGGCACTACAAGCTTGGGGTACAAATCTCGCAAGCAAACCTATCCTCAGTTGTAATCCCGATATAGCACTTCACGGTGTTGGAGAGGGGGACGGGTGCTGGGATGTTTTGAGAATGTGCTGGGATTCTAGCAAACCAATGCAGCGCGAAGAAGGTCCAAAACCCCAACCCTAAACTACACAGTATAAACCCTAAAAACCCTAGACCTAAACCCTAACCGTAAATCCCAACTCCGAAACCCATCTCCATGACCATGAACCCTCGTAGCGTTCTGCTGCTGTGGTTCCAGCGGCCTCTTCTTCCTCGCCTTCCGACACCTCCTCCTGCTCTTCCTTGCCGGTTTAGGCGTCAGGCCTTTGGGTTTAGGTCTCAGGTTTCGGCTGTCAGTAGGCCTTACGCTGAGGTCTGACAGGGTCTAAAATTTCGGCTTGGGGTGTAGGCATGATGTTGGCTTTAGGATTTAGGGTTTAAGGTTTTAGGGTTGGAGCTATTGGGAGAACAAGTGCTTACGGTCTGAAGATTGAATTTGGACCAGCTTGAAACGGATCTGAACTTGAACCCTAAACGTTGAAACACCTTACGTACACCCCGAACCCACAGCCCGAGCCGGGCCCAAGCCCTAAACCAAAAAAGTTTTAGGCTATAGGCCCTTACACAAAAAAAACTCCAAAGGTGTGCATGCGGCTCAATACAGGCTCAAACCCTGAACCCTAAAGCCCTAGCCCCCAGACCATAAACCCTAAACCTTAAAGGGCTCAGTCTCGGATTGAATACCTTTGGCGATTGTTAGGATGTTTGTCTGCGGAAACAAGTGTTTGAGTCTGCAACTTCGATTCACGTTTAGAGCTTCAGGGTTCGGGGTAGGTGTTCAGGGTTTGGGTTTCGTGATCCAGGGTTTGGGGTTTAGGGCCTAAGGTTTAGGGGTTTAGGGGTTAGGGGCTCAGGTTTTGAGGCCAGGGGTTTCAAGGGTCAGCCGACATCCTGTGATTCTGGGTGTCATGTGGGAGAACCTTCACAGGTTGGATACCCCGCGAACTATATACATCCCAACTTTGCTTGGAAGCATGAGCTAGACCTAAGAGTAACCTAGGAATAAAAAGTGTCAAGGGGATAAGGGCCGGCTCTGAGTCCTAGTGAGGGTCGAAGGCGGTTTTAGGGGCTTATAGAGAGCTGAGGCTTGGTTTGGTGTAGGTGGTCCTCTACTTTTCAGGGCCTACGCCATATTCTAGATATGTGGGAGCTTTTGTGCCCTCGCAAAGAAACATTCAATCCATCTTTCTCTCTCATAACCGCAAATCTTAATCCCTAGAACCCTATGCACAGGACCCCAACTTAGCAACCCTAAACCCTTAATTGACTGTAAAGCCAAAAACCTTATACAGGAATACGCACCTGACTGCCCTCCACCTTCTTGCGGCTTTTGTCGGCCTGTAAAGCTGCGAGTGAACGGTCTAACATATTTGGAGGTTCATGGGTAGTTATAAGTAGGGTCATAAGTCCCCCCTAACATAGGTTATAACTATAGTTATCAATTTATAACCCTACTTATAACTACCCCTGACCCTCCAAGTAGGGTGTTGAGTTTAGGGTTCAGGGGCTTAGCGGGTTTTGGGATATTGGGATGTCGGAGATTCTGCGATGAGATTTTTTCCTGGCCGGCTTACATGTCGCTGCGCCTTGGCCATCATTCTCTCGGCCATTTCGAACTGCCAGCCGTAGACTGTCGCGATCAGACTTTCTCTTGGCCCCAAAAAGCCGGCTTACATGGGTGGTTGTCAACATTATGGTCCCTTTTTGGGTCCCTAATAGTTATACGGCACCTAATATTTAGTGTGCCCAATAAGGGGCCCCAATTTTGACAACCACCCACATGTGACTGCGCCTTGGCCATCATCCGAGCCGCCGCTGGCTTGGTCATTGGGGTTGTTGGCTTTGTATCTTGTGGATGCCTGGAACCGCAGGCGTCCCCCTTCCTTTGCTTCTTCGCTTTGGATCATCTCCTCCCGCGAAAGGAACCGCGGCTTACCGAATGGGGGCTCGGGCGTCGCGGAGGCTTCCTTCGGTTGATGATATGAATCCTGCATTACCTTGAGGGCCAGAAACTATGGGAATTGCGGTATATTCCCCCTTTTTTGGGTAATGCAGGATTTATATCATCAACCGTTACACCCCACACCTCCAACATGCTGCCTTCCTTGGTCAACCATTGTAGCCGGGATGATTAAAATCGAAAACAGGACCTCAGCACCTACACCTTTGGTCGGAAACCCGAATCCCCAAACACCTCAAGTCTGCAACCCTAAGCCCCTAAACTCTGCATCCCAAATCCCTTGGCCGCAAGCCCGCCAAGGATCCAGTAAACTGAACCCACATGCAGATGCCCGAAGATGCATTTGTAGTGCTCCTTCCGGTAGCAGGTGTCAATTTCAACCGCCACCAGAATCAGGACTATGGTAAACAATAGAGAAAGTAGCAACTTATGCCAAGTCGATAACTAGGGTGGAGGCTTGCTATTCCAGAAGGGGTCAAGGCAAGACCTGCTGAGACAAGACCAAACATCTCAAATTCTTCGACACAGCAAGAGCCTTTTTGAACAAAGCCCCATCATAAGACCCTCTACCTGACTCTACCTTCTGTAACTGTAGAGTCTCCTCTGCACTTCATGTTCTTGGCTGACTGCCTGATGGTAAAAAATATAGACATAAAGCGACCAGAAACTCAAGTACAATGGAGAGTATAGGTAAATCCGAAAAGCAAGTTGCCGGATGATCAGCTGATCTTTCAATGCCACACAGACATCAGCCCCGCAGCACTATGAAGAGGCCTTAGGGTCCGTTCACGAGATCTGAGAACAGCAGCGGGCCCTAGCATTCCAACGTAACCTTTCAATTAACTTAACGCAAGACACGGCTGGGAACGCATGACCCCTGGCTGAGGAGCCGTCTGCGCAGCCATTCGATCCTCCGAAGCCATGAAAATGAGTTTGCTGAAGGTTGTTTGGGGTTGAACAAGCTGGGAAAATGTACGTAACCGTTGTCAAAGAGCAGACTAAATCAAAATCCTGAGCAGATCGGAATACCGTTCCGGCAGACCGAGGGGGACAGAGTACAACAAACGAAAGCCTAAACCCGAAACCCTAAAACTTGAACTCTAAACCCTGAACTCGAACCAATCATCTGCTCTGCCCAGAGGGCCCAATACCCCTTAAATAAGGAGTATACCTTATATTAGGGGCTTCATATTATGATTCAAGCTATATTCCTTAATTAGGGGGTATTGGGGTTTCTGGGTGGTAGAGTCCTTGAAGCACAGATCTGGCACTGCGAGACCGGCTCCGTCGCCTTGCATCGCGGGTTTCGGCCCCGACGGTTCTAGTACAGGGGCCTCTAAAGGGGGTTTCCGAAAATTAGGGGATACCTTATTTAGGGGTCCTTATGATAAGGATCCTACATTTAGGGTACTATTTTAGGGTCCCATGTTTTCGGAAACTCCCAAAAGCTAGAAATTGGCCTTGGGGCCTTGGGGGTATCATTTTAACTCAAAGTATAACAAGGAACCCTGAGGAATAGCCGTCTATGGTATATTATTGATGTAAGGGTAAGACAAGGAAACCTTAAGTAGCAGCATTGACAAAAATAACGGCCCGGTGGCGGCCGAGGGGGATGGAGGCTCGGGCGCCCTAGAAGGGGCTCCGGGGATTGCTTGGAGGCTCATGGGTAGCTGTAAGTAAGGTTTATATGGGGTCCTTTAAGGGATCTATAACGGTTCTATAAGGGTTCTATAAGAGGGGGTTCAGGGGTAGTTATAAGTAGGGAGATAAGTAGGATAATAGTTCTAAGCCATATTAGGGGACTTATAACCCTACTTACTAAGCAATACGTTCTTTGGGCTTGTAGACATAGGAAGTGACACTTTCATGCTTTAGGCTTGATGGGGTAGGGCATTTCGTGTACAAGGAGCACGTTGTGGAGCCTCCTGTGGCCAGACCTTTGAGAGAAAGAGCCTGTACTTGGAGGCTCATGGGTAGTTATCAGTAGGGGTAATAAGTAGGACAACTATAGTTATAACCTATGTGAGGGGACATATGACCCCACTTATACCTACCCATGAACCTCCAAGTAGGAGCCAGCATGCGAGGGGCCTCACCGAAGTTTAGGGGTCCCACTCTTGTCTCTCCGATACTGATACGAATACACCCTAACCACGGTTTAGGGTTTAGGGTTTTAGGCCCTAATTGGTGAAAAAAATCAGCAAGACATGCGAAAGCAGTTCTCACTCAGACTTGGGATCTCAATATCTGCGAAGCGCCACTCTCCAGCATTGGAGCCTTTCGCAGGTGCAGTTTAGACATGATTAGAACAGTACCTACAGCACGAAGCCTTAATCCGAGGAGCCGGAAGCCCTTCAAGCCGTAGTCCAAGAACACTCAAAACACCCAAGCTCAGCGAAACCTACAAATCCAAGACCCTAGGCCCTAAACAAAAGAAACGACACCGGGCACTCTCAAGCACTCGACACCCACCGAAGACAGCCAAGGTCCTGGCCCTACGAGGTTCACAACAGGCCGCCGTGCGGGCAAAAGCCGCACAGGAGAACGATTCCTGTGCCAGGTTCGCTGCTACTGCGATTGCTAGTGCTACTGCGAGCACGACGACGGCGACGACGACTGCAACTACTAAGACTACGACTACTGAGACTGAGACTACGACGACGACTAATTACTACTCCTGCTGCTGCTGCTGCTACTACTACTACTACTACTACTACTACTACTACTACTCCTGCTGTTACTGCTACTACACCTGCTGTTACTCCTACTACTACTACTACTACTACTACTACTACTACTACTACTACTACTACTACTCCTGCTGCTGCTGTCCTGCTCCTACTGCTGCTCCTGCGACTACTCCCTTCATCGCTACTGCTGTCGACCCCATGACTACGACTGCTGCGACTACGACAACGACTACGCACGACGACTACGACGACGACGACGACTCCTCCTCCTGGTACTACTACTTAGTCAGGCTATGGAAGCATTGCATTCATTAGTCCTCGTCCTTGCGTTGGTTGCCCGGTAGCAGGCAAAAGGACGAAAACCATGCACCCTTGACGTCGCCAACGGTCGTGCGGCAAAATTCTAGACACTTGTTGACCGTTCTATGAATTTGGGATTTTGCAGGAGGGTGCTTTACATGTCGAGCATATAAACCCATGCAAAGTCCTGCCCCTTTCTGACCCTTAAACCGAGACCCTAAGCCCTGAACCCGTAATCCTCCAAACCCTTGCAACGGCGAGCCTGCCGTTCTGAAGCGGCATATCCTTCTCTCCTGCCCGGAGCATATGCACAGACGGTGGGATGGTGCGGGGGAGCTAAACGCCTTGAAGCCGTCGTCGCCATCGTATAGGTAATCGTCAGGGCAGTGGGAGTGGCAGTGGCGGTAACAGTGGCCGCGGTAGTGTCAGCCATCGTACCAGTGCGCTGCGGTATAAAGATTGGCAACCAAAACCACACTGACGCCAATAGATGTAGCTCTAGTAGCAGTATGTAGTAACCGTATGTAGTGGTAGGGAGGGGCTGGAAGAGCAGCAGGAGCCGCAACGTGTCGGTTCTTGCCGAGGCGGAAGATTTCTGGTGATTCTCCAAGCCAGCTGCGGCACACGGGTGGTCAAGGCCAAAAGGCAACTTGAACCCTCACGGAGCTCTCAACCCAAGGCCCCAGGCACGAAACAATCGAATCACAAACTCTAAACACCGTAACCCTAAACCCTAAAGCCCAACACCGAATCCCAATCTGCAGGGCCTTCGGCTTCCTCCCGCTGACGCCTTGGCCATGCAGAGATTTGGACGCTCGGTTTAGGGCTTCGGGTTGAGGTTTTGAGGGTTCAGGGTTTCAGGGTCAGGGGTAGGGTTCTCGGGTTTAAGGTTTAGGGTTCAGGGGTTTAGGGTTTAGGGGTTTAGGGGTTCAGGGGTTTAGGGTTTAATTAGGGTTTAGGGTTTACCCTGTGATCAGGCCCCAGCGCAGAATGTATTTCTGTTGCTCGGGATCCCCGGCTTGCCCGTGGCAGTGGTTTTGACTCGCAGTGAAGATTAAAATGCCTGTAGGGTCGGAGTACGGATAGGCATCAAACTCCTCTACGGGCCTTAGGAGTCAGTGTAGCGTTCTGGGATACACTACAGTATACTTCTTAACCACAAACTGAACAGGGCCCTGAAGAATAATATGGGTAACCATGCAGGCTTTCACATGAGAAGATGTCCTTAACAAACCCTGAATTACTTTGGCTGGCTTCTGTTCTTGTTGTGGACCCGAACCACAACATGGGATATCCAGGTAAAAGTGCTGTAATTCAGGGTCTGCCCTTAAGACTTCAACTCCTATTGTGACCTTTAACCTACTTCCAAGAAATCTTGAACCCGAAGTCCCACAAGGCTTAAACTCGAAATCCCATAACCGCGAAACACAACGGAAATCCTTGTAGAACGATAATAAGCCAACTCAAACTCAAATAATTCCTGAAGCCCTCGTAGAAACCAATTCATAGCCCACATGTAAAACCTTTATAGAAACGCTTCCGTACCCTGATGACCCTAATGAAACTCTTCTATAGAATCATCGTATATAGCCAGGCCTCCGAACATGCACTTTAGTGTTTAAATTATTAGGCGTTGGAAGAGCCACTAATATCCAATTAAACCCTAAGCCCGAACACAAGACCGCCTCCCTAAACCCTAAACACCCAAAGCCCTAAACCCCTAAACCCCCTAAACCCCTAAACCCAAAAATCCCCTAAGCCCCTTAAACCCTGAATCCCCAAAACCCAAAATCCCCCTAAACCACCCAAACCCTGAACCTCCTAAACGGCCCTAAACCCTGAACCCACCAAACCCTAAACGCCCTAAGCCCTAAACCCCCTAAACCCTGAACCCCCTAAACCCTAAACCCCCTGAGCCCTAAACCCCCTAAACCCAAAAACTCCCTAAACCCCCTAGACCCTGAACCCCCTAAACCCCCTAAACCCCCTAAACCCTGAACCCCCTAAACCCCCTAAACCCCTAAACCCTGAACCCCCTAAACCCTAAACCCCCTAAACCCCCTAAACCCTGAACCCCCTATATAAACCCTAAACCCCTGGTGTGAGCTGGGGGCCCTGGCGTGTGCCCTCTTTCGAGGAGGATGACCCGAGACGACTGGTCAAATGACCGGAGATCGGGTTTAGGGTTTAGGGGTTAAAAGGCTCCTTAAGTTAAGGGGATCTATAGGGTTCCTCAGAGGGATCTATAAGGGCTATAGGGCTTTAGGGGTTTAGGGTTTAGGGAAGTTTAGGGGTTTAGGGGTTTAAGGGGTTTAGGGGGTTTGGGGTTTAGGGGCTTTAGGAGTTTAGGGATTTAGGGGTTTAGGGGTTATGGTTGAGGGAGTTTAGGGTCCCCTAAGGCCCTACACCCCAAAACCTAAAAGAAACCCTAAAACCCGAATGCTCCAGTTCAGGACTTAGGGCTAGCGTAGGGTTCCGGTCATCGAGTTGAGGGTGGTTCAACGAGGATTTAGAAAGTTGGAACATCAATATCCTCATGCCCTTTGGGTAATCTATACCTAGTGTGAAGACCCTCTTAATCCCGGAACCCCAAACTGAAATATCCCAGACCAGTCAAACCCCCACCCCAAAAGCCGAACCTCATAAAGCCTCATTCATTCGACACCGAAACTCTGAGAATGCAAAGCCCTGAGTTCCGATCGCAGAACCTGGACACCCTAAGTGATTTCCCAACTCGAAGCCCCGAACATCCCCGAACCCTTCAACGCCCAACCCTGCACAAAAAGCAAAACTAATACGCAGACCGTACAGTCCCAGCACCCTGCACTGAAAAGCCGAAACACCACAAGTCCTGAGCCTTGTGTGAAGAATAATTCTATATTAGTCCGTAAAACCCCGGACTCAACTCTCCAATCTTCGCCCCAAAGCCTGAACCGTTGTAGATTTATGCAGCAAGTCTAGCGATCTTCCATAAACCCCTGAGCCTTACACCATACGGCTAAGTCGCTAAATCCCGAACCTTCAACCCTCAACCCCTGCATACTAACTTCATCCTCCACCCTCAGCCCCAGCCTTATGTATATAAGTCCTAAAGCCCTACTCTACCCTCATCTAAACCTTAGACTCATTAGACCTCAAGCCCTGAACCCTAATTCTTCCAGCCTCACGACCCTGCTCCAAAAAGCGGGGCAGGTGCAGCAAAGCTCCTCGTGGACAGGCCTTCGAACTGCGATTACATGAGGGTTCGCTTGCCCAGACAGTTGTGGGTTTAGGGTGTAAGACAGCGGCCGTAATGAGTAGAATCGGGTTTTGGGGCCATTATACTATAACTATAATTAAGGAACCACCAAAATAGTATATGTAAATAAAAGGCCCCTGTAGTAGGTTCGGGTCAAGGGTTTAGTCTCCAAACATAGTTGTAGCTATAGCTATCCTACTTATAACCCTGCAATTAGTAATGATGTCATCCATATACAGTCCCAACAGCACAGTATAGCAGAATACCGAATACCCCCAAACCCTACTCTTATGTTTTAGGCCCCTACAGCACCCAAGATCCCTCAATGCTGAACCCACACTTGGATTTTGGAAGGAATATGCCTGTTAACTGTTAAATATTTCCAGAACTAGCCCAGAAAAGGTTAACCTTTTGAATTATAGTAGGAGTATATACGCTCCAAAGGGGTAAAGTTTATCTACTCAAGCCCTAAGATATGAATGAAGGTAGTACACTGGTTGATTCATGAAGGGATTTTGGAAGATCTGGCCCCTCCTCTGAAACCCCCCTCCACTCCACAGCTGGGGGTTGGCTCTGATCACAAAGAAAGCTCGGGCTGAGGAGGTAAAGGTCCGTAGTACCCTAAACCCTAGACCTAAACCCTAAACCCTGTAATCAGCAGGTGGGCCTCCAATGCACTTAGAATTGCAATTCGGGAAGCGGGAATTGAAATTCAGTACGTTCGGATGCTGTGCAATCGGAATGAGGGTGGCAATCCCTTGAGCCCGTCCACCGATTTACGGCACAGCCACTCAGGTTTGCTTTGGAAACCCGCAGCTCCAAGCAGGGATCGCTTCCATTCTAGTGACACGTCATCTCCATTACGCAGTATGCAGAACGAATGCACCTAGAACGAGCAAAGTTGCATCAGCTTTCTAGGTTGTTAGGCTTCATAGCCTGATTGTGTAGCTTCCGTCAAAGAGCTGACAGGATTTAGGCACTCAGGGTGTATGGGGTGTAGCGTAGGTTTAGGAAGTGGCGGCATTAGGGTGTAGGACCACGGATTCTATGCAACCGACACCGAGACCAGCTGGTAGGCCCTGGTAGGCCTACCGGCTTACACCCAAAGACCGGTTTAACTCGAAACCACACAGCCTGTACCCAACACATCCTCCGAATAATACTAAAATCGTAACCCTGAGCCCCAAGCCTTAATTGACTGAAGCCTGAAACCTAAACCTTGATGTAGAACTACGGCTGATGATATAAATCCTGCAATACCCATAATAAGGAACATACCATAATTCCCATATTTAGGGTCACGAAGGTAACAGCGAGTAGGAATCCCTAAACAACTAACTAGGTTGGCCCTATTTAAAGACTCTGAAAAATATTCGTAGATACGGTCCTATTAAGCCCAATACGCCCCAAAATTGGGTTTTTGGCCTTTTCCAGACACCCTCTCCAAGCCCCCCCAAATTGGGCTTTTTCCCTTCCAGGCCCCCGAATTGGGTTTTTTTTTGGCCTAGGGAAAATATAAAAAAATATCCCAAAGGCCTACCTAGCTAAGCCCTGCCGGGGCTCCTCCTTGGTGCATTTGGGACCTGGGACTGGGAGTCGAGGATTCGGGGTTCCGGGCTTCGGGTGGATTTTGGTGGTTTAGGGTTTAGGGTTAAGGTTTTAGTTTTGAAAAAAATAGGGTCTAGTTATTTTAGCTTTGAGAAAAAAAGGGCTCTAGGGTTAGGGTTTTTGTGTTGAAAAATGGGGTTTAGGGTTAGGGTTTCTTTCAACAAATTAGGGTTTAGGGTTCAGGGCTTCGGCTGGATCTTAGGTTTGCGTTCGGGGTTTGCATTTGCCCCAGCACCCTTCTTCCCACTTTTTCGCTTTGAACATATAACGAGACCGCGCAGAAAGAAAAGGCAAAAGGGTACTACTGAGAGACCTTAGTTTCATTATGGTCTTACAGAGTTTTTCTGATTGTGCATAAGGGTTCAAGAGGGCTTAGAGTTGTGGAGTTTAAGGGTTTAGGGATCTGGTTTGTAGGCTTCATGGTCCCTAGTTTAGCATTTTGGGGGTTTCAGGTGTCAAGCAGGCAAACCTAATACAGGGGCTTTGATAATTAGAATGGGGTTTTGGGATATGTTATACTATAAATGGAATAAGGAACCCTCAAAATAGTACAGGTAATCATTGAAGCCCCTATAGTAAATCCATCCCTGAACCCTAAACTCTAACTCGTGGCTCAACGACAAAACTTATCGGCATGATTCAACCACCACCAAAAAAGGAAACGCGTCAAGCTCCTAAAGCAACAAAAACCTAAACTCTAAACACCAAACCCTAAACCCCAAGCACCCAAATCCTAAACCCTAGACCCCAAACCCTAAACCACAAACCACCAAACCCTAAACCCTCAACCCCAAACACCAAACCCTAAGCCCTAAACCCCAAAGACCAAACCCTAAACCCTAAATCCTAAACATCCCTAAACCGTAAACATCCCTAAACCCTCAACCACAGGAACCCAGACATGGGAGTTTTCAGAAAATAGGAGACCCCAATATAGTACCCTGAATAGCAGGATCCTTATTGAAAGCACCCCAAAATGAGGTGCCCTAATTTTCGGAAACTTCAAACCCTGAACCCTAAACCCTTTATAGAACCCTTATAGATCCCTTTAAGGGAACCCTTTTAAAGTAACCACAGACTTCAAAGAAAGGGAAGGCCAGGGCGCTCTGCGCCAGGCACAGAGCTCCTTCCCGGTAAGCCCAGGAGGCCCAGGCCTGGCTGTGCTAGGTCCGGGGATCCTTAAAGGGGTCCGTAAAGGGTTCCTTCAAGGGTTTAGGGCTTAGGGTTTCGGGTCGTGTGGCATGCTAAGATAGTTGGGGCTTTGGGGCATAATCTGCGATGAGAATTGGGGTATACTATGCTAGAATAGCTCGGGATTCGGGGTATACGATGCTATAAAAACGACGGTAAACCATTCTTATTATGGTGGGTGTCAATAATCTGAAACAGCTCTCTCTCTCTCTCTCTCTCTCTTCATGTTGGGGGTTTAGTATTTAGGATTTATAGGCTTGGGATTTAGAGGCTTAAGGGGTTTAGGGTTTCGGAGGCCTGAATAATCAGTGTTTTGTGGTATGTTTTGCTATGATAATTAGAGTCCTGGGGTATATTGTGCTGTAGTAATGCGGGATTTGGGGAAGCTATAGCAACCAGGGTATATTATACTCTATGGAGTTCTTGGACTACACGGACAAGTGCAAAATCTAAAAAAACAACATTGTGTTCATGTTCTGGACGCGAGTATGTGCAGACGGTATCTTCAACAGTATCCACTGCGGTCATCGAACACACATTAACATGAAATTTTGAGTGTTCATAGAAGGAGTAATAGCCAACATGCTCGTCACGACTGCTCCTATCCAGGCTGTTGCTGCAGTTGTGCAGGGGGGCATGCTTCAAAGTCCACGAACTGTTGGCCCTAATGAGTTCCAATCCCCCAAACCTTATAGCATACCTCAGACCTTAATTGTTAAGTCTCGACACTGAGCTAAACCATCCTAAGCCTCAGAAACACCCTCTGGAAGCGGGACTAGCCTAGACCCCTTTCAAGAGGCACTCGGCTTCGAAGTTGAGTCCAGGCCTTTGAGACATGTTAAATTCTTAGCTGGATTTTCCTTACGACTATTCCTAAAGTGGCGCTGCAGGGCCAAATCTGTTTTCGTCGTGGAATGCGCCTGTAGTTTCGACTCGAGGGCTACAATTTGCAGCATCCTACGACCAAGCTGGTTAAGTTAAACCAACAACACGCCTTTTGTTGGTTGCCTGGCTCTCTTGTTAGAGGATCTTTGCCTGAAAGCTAACAAAACATCCAATGAAAATGGTACTACACTGAAGCGTCTAACTACTGATCTCCGCGGAGCCTACAGTATCAGTCTCGGCTTGTTGATGCCCCAATGAGTGTGATGACTACTGTTCAGTTGGCCGTATTGCATCTTGATTATGCTGCTGTTGATTTGCCGCCGTAGTTGTAGTTGGCGGCTTCGCGACTCATCATCATCATCATCATCATCATCATCATCATCATGGTACCTTACCCTAAACCCCAAATACCTATAAACCCTAACTACCCTACAAACCCTAACTACCCTATAAGCCCTAAATACCCTATAAGCCCTAAATACCCTATAAACCCTAACTACCCTACAAACCCTAAGTACCCTATAAGCCCTAAATACCCTAAGTACCCTATAAACCCTAAATACCCTATACACCCTGAACCCTTACCTTCAACACTACGGCAACGTCCTGCCTACCGACTCTCAAGTCTTCGTGAGTTGACCTGTCTTAAAAGGGTTTAGGCTATACCGAACTTAGAACCCTAGCAACAATTATAATTTTTGCGGGTTCTTAAGGCTTATCATAACCAAATATTTTAAAACTATTTCTAAGTACCTCTAAGTTAAAGCCCTAACCCCTGGTGCAACCCCGAGCTACGGTTGATGATATTAATCCTGGGGTTCCTTTAAAGGGATCTATAAGGGCACCTTTAAGGGGCTCCTTCAAGGGATCTATAGGGTTGTAGGGTTTAGGGATATTAATCCTGCATTACCTTAATGGCCCTAAACTGTGAGAACTATGGTATATTCCTTATTATTGGCAATGCAGGATTTAAATCAACAACAGTACCACATGCTTGAACCGTCAATGCTATCAGACGAAACAGCCTGGCAGTGGCCGTAGCAAGAACAACCCCCTACCCAGATTACCCGCACCTAAACTGCCCGTATAATGTCAGCGAGAGCAGTCCTGAAGACGATCGAAGAGCATCTGTGGCTGCTTGATGCAGTTGCAGCTCAAGTCCAGCCTCGAAAGAAACTTGGAGTGTTGCGGCTGGAGGTCATGCTAACAATCCCAAATTCCAAACGATATTAACGTGGTTGTCGTGGAACTCAAGACCCTTGCCTATATGAACGGAAAACCTTCAAATCGAACCCTTAACTTCATATGTAGAACCCTTGCCGAGACCCTGAAAGTTGACAGAAAGATACAAGATCCGTCCAGGAACCCTTCTGCAAATATATTTCACCCCTACTTAGATGCAGATTCATGTATGCACCTTACAGAAACCGCTAACCCCAAACCCTCTAAGCCCCTGCACTTTGCCCCAAACCGAGCCTTCAAACGTAAACCCTAAACCCAGGCCCAGAGCAAACCCTAAGCCCAACACCGAACCTCGGAGCCCCTAAGTTCTAAAACCCTAAACACGCCCGAAAGCTCTAAACCCCCAAACCCTACATGGGAGTTTCCGAAAATTGGGGTACCTTATCTACTATTTGCTTAAGAACACCCAAACAATAAAAAATACATTCCTTATGGGGGTAATATAGGGATTATTATTTTTATTTTTTGGTGGTTTCTTAAGCAAATAGTAGTTATTTGGGGGTCTTTATAATGAGGATCCTACTATTTAAGGTGCTAGATGAGGGTCCCCTATTTTCGGAAACTCCCACATGGGTGGTTGTCAGAATGACCATAAAGCCCTAAACACCCAAACCCTACATAAACCCCTTAACCCTAAACCCTGAGCCCCTAAACCCGAACACTAAACCCTAATCAGCCAAGAGACCACAGCGGCCCGCGCGGCGCCTCGCCGGAGCCGCGCTGGTAGCGCTCCTCTGCCGCAGAAGGATTGGAACACTGGCTGAGGCAGGGCCTGCGAGCCAGACACTGGTGAGTAGTGGTCGAGGCAAGCTCGAACCCGAAGAAGGGCATGTCCATCTATCTTGTTGCTTTTGTTGTTGAAGTGCAATTAACTCATGAGAGCAGGGCCGTCCTCATGGAGGTTGGGTGGGTAGGTCCTCAACTTCAACCCCTTTAACCCTCACCGAGAGCACGGTTCGGGACAGGTCTCCTTGATGGCCGATTCGACAATCCTGGGCTTTCCCAGACAATTTAGAGGGGCTTAGAGTAAAAGCCAGAAAGTGTTTTAACACCATAATCCTCATGCTTCAAAGTCAAGTATAGGAGACCCCCGACTAATCATCCTAAATCAATGTTCCAACTTTCTGGGATTCATCATACGGGTTCTTGCTTGCCGGAGTTGCTTGCCGGAGTGCTCTGATCTGAGGTTTCGGGCTTAGGATTTCCGGCTCATGGGGTTCAGGGACAAGGTTTCGGGTAGTTTCTTGCCGGCTCAAGTAACTCGGTCTATCGATCAAGCCTACAGTCGTTAGAGCCATTGCGTTGGGAAGGGGGTTTCGGATTTAGGATAAAGGCTTAGGGCTTAGGGTTTAGGTAATCAACTCGGCCATCTCATGGGGCTCGGGCTTGCGAGCAGACTCGTCGTCCAGGAGATTCCTCAAGCGCTTCAGGGCATTTGGGGCCTTTGAGGGTTTAGGCCTTTGGGTTTAGGGTTCACTTGGAGGGTCGGGGGACTTAGTAAGTAGGTAGTAAGTAGACTTATAAGTACCCTAAAAGGGACCCTAATTGGGGTTATGGTACTTATAAGTCCCTAAAATAGCCATTTACTAAGTCCTCCGACCCTCCAAGCAGGGTTTAGGGCCTTTGGGTTAGGGTTTTTGGGTTCGGCTCTGAGGCTCTGAGGTTTTTGGGCTTAGGAGTTTCCGGTTTTCGGGGCTTGGGGTTCAGAGTTTGAGGCTCAAGGGCTCAGGGTTTGGGATGTAAGGCTCTCGCTTTTTTTTGGGAGTTTTCATGCGACGAAGACTATACTTGGAGGTTCATGGGTAGTTATAAGTGGGGTTATAAGTCCCCTGATATGGGTTATAAGTATAGCTATCCTATTTATAAACCTACGTATAACTACAAATATAGGGGCGCAGTAGCTCCTTGGCAGCTTTTACAGAGCGGGGCCCAAAACGACTGTATAGCTAAAAATGCAAATTAAGGTTGCCTTTGTGGTCTTTACGGGTTTTGGTTCTAGGGTTTCAGGGTTCCGCTCATTTAGGGTACCTGCTCTTCTATGTCACAGATCTCAATAACAAGATTAGCTAGTTACCCTAAATTAGGGGTACGGTTTGACCCGTTAGGCAGGGAAGATTCAATTAAGGCGTCTTGGTCCGGCCTGGAGAATGGACATGGGTACAGATGGGCAACTTTGTAAACCTAAACCTTCTGCCCTCAAACACCTTCTGTCCTTGGAAAATCGCGCAACAAGTGGCTCTTCAGCCATAGCCCTAATCTACCAGAGCTGCGCGCAAGACCGCGATAGAAAACCTACATAAACTCTGCTAAAGCCAACCGAATCGGCATCCTTCCCAAAGGCTCCATGTAACCATATAGTAGGTACTTGGGCCTTAAAGTACCTATACTATATAGTGGCCCCTTGAAGGCCTAAGTACCTACTATATGGTTACATGGAGTCTTACAGTTTCGCCATGCCCTACCTCTAAACTCCAAACTTCGGCCCCTCTGCTGTCGGAACACTGCGAGAGGTCGACCTCTTGCAAGAAGTGCGCCGTGGAACCCGCCCCTTCTCTTCGGCTCGGAGTTGGAGTGTCGGCTCCGGGGTTTAGAGCTGAGGGTTTTTAGGGGTTTAGGGTTTAGGGATGAGGGTTTTTAGGGCTTTTAGGGTTTAGGGTTTAGAGATGAGGGTTTTGGGGTTGGGGTTTAGGGTTTAAAGCTGAGGGTTTAGGGGTTGGGGTTTAGGGTTTAAAGCTGAGGGTTTTGGGGTTAGGGCTTAGGGTTGAGAGCTGAGGGTTTTGGGGTTGGGGTCTAGGGTTTAAAGCTGAGGGTTTTGCTGCTAGGGTTTAAGGTTTAAAGCTGTGTGTTTTCGGAGCTTTTACAAATCAGTTGAGAGTACCGTCCTGGAGGATTTGTGGTCGAGAGTAGGGTTGTATCCGTCAAAAGGGTAGTTGTCAAAATTAAGGGCCTGTTTTGGGGTACCCTAAATAATAGGTGCCGTATCATGATAGGGACCCAAAAAGGGACCATCATTTTGACAACCACCCAAAAATTATTGCAAGAGGATGCTGAGAAACGCCCTCATCAACACACCCAGAGCTCCAAACCCGTTGTCCTGTTGACCTTCAAACCTTAAAGAATGCTGCACAAATATTCATACAAACATATACATGTTGCGTATACAACGTAACACACATCTGTATGTGTCTATATATATATACACATTTTCATATAACACATTTGTACACACTCATACATGTATGTATGTATGGATGTATGTATGAATGAATGTATGCATGTATGTATGTGTATATATGTATTTACACACATACGTGCTTTACAGCACCGGAACCACTAGCTGCAAAGGCACCCAGCTGCTTCATCAAACGTCCCACTTCGGAGATGCAGCTGCGCTGGCCGGAGATGGAACAGTCTGTCAGTCGAACCTGGGCTGGGGAACACCATGCTGAAAAAAGAGGTTTAGGAGTATAGGTTTTAGGGTTTAGTGGCTTAGGGGAAACCCTACCTGGAGTCTCCATTGTACTTCCTTTTTTGGGTATTATATAATTAGGATCCTATAAGGTAACGCCAAAAAGGAACTATAATGGAGACTACAGGCAGGTCCTGAAAATGTAGAAGAGGGTTTGGGGTATAGGGGTTTAGGAGTTTAGGGTTGGTTTGGGGTATACTGTCCAAACGGGTCTATGAGTCTATAAGGGAATTGCAGAATCAACTACAGCACATGAACGATTGAGCCGGTTGTGCGGGCTGGGCTTCAGGGCTTGGGGTTTTGGGGTTTAGGATTTGTGGCCACAGATCCTGCAAGCACTAAAAGCACTGAGGGACGGAGGATGACGAAGGACTCGAAACGCTCTGGTTTAGATAGTGGCGCCAATGCTTCTGGGGGTGCATACATGATTTCACAAGCTTTGGGAGGCAACTCCAATACTGAGGTCTGGGGAGCAAGGTAGGACGTTTGAGTGATGCTCGGACGGGGCATCCAAGGCGGTATGTCACAGGCATGAGCACATGCACATGTGCGCTTTTGTAACCATGAATGAAGCCAGTTCGCAGTTGAAAAGGGCATGCACCCAGACCCCGGGAGGATCTAGAAAGTAGATCCCCTAATTCGGGGCCGTATACTACAAGGGTTTCTTACAGGAACCCCCAATAAGGGATGTACTTTGCAAGTGCAAGTGCACAGATACCCATACACAGACACACACAAGATCAGACTCGTCATGCTATGTGACCCCACATCTGCTGTGCCTCCAAGAGGACAACCACCCTGGACCATGAACCCGAAACCTTCAAACAGACTACAGAAGAAAGGACGGCGCGAGGATGAGATGCCTTGTATCCCGCATGCTGCGAAAGACTTTGTGGTGGGCATACTTGGGGGTTCCAGTGTAGTTGCAAGTGTAGCTACAAGTCCCCGAATATTGGTTGTAAGTGTGGTATCCTGCTCATAAACCTACTCAGAACTACGCATGAACCTCCACGTAGCACCTGGAGTGGTCTTTAAATTGCGTCGTTGCTTTACAGTGTATGTAAGCGAGCAGGGTCGTGTTTTAGCGAGCTCGTATATCGGGCAAGGAGCTGTTGTGATCTCGGAGCTGGCACGGACAAGATGCACGACCTGCTCCAAAGCCTCGGCTGACTCTCGCCCAAGCAGTACCCTAAACCCTAAACCCTAAACCAGTAGTCTTATTGCAAGACTCAGGCCTCAGCTGAGTTTGGCTTGGCCGGTCCAGTTCGCAAGCTCCATGCATATAGCTTGGTAGGGTATAACTTTGACCTGGAACCCCCCAAGCCGCCAACCCCATAATGAGGAAGCAGCATATCCCATCACGTTTGCAAATACCTTAAATTACGGTCCTAGGATCCATACTATCATTCCAGCCATATAACTGCATTAAAGGGTTTTGGAGTCTCTGAAATTCCTTGAAGAAATCCTTAGAAAGCCCTTGAAGAAACCCTATAGAACCCTCAATTACGAGGTTTTGGAAAATATGGGCCTTCCAAGCAGTCCAGTGGCATGCACGGCCTCTTCCTCGCTCCGAGCACCGGTGACCTCGCAGCGTCAAACTCAGCTCATTAAACCCCTTCGATTGGGTTTACTTTTCGGAGCTCAGAGATCTTCAAAAAATCTTCGAGTCATGTTAGGGTTTTTGGAGCTCGGAGATCTTCAAAGATTGTGTGAGTCAGGTTAGGGTTTGTTGGAGCTCAGAGATCTCCAAAATTTGTGCGAGTCATGTTAGGGTTGAGGGCGTTGCGTGGATTTTAAGGCCTAGGGCTGAGGTTTAGGGCCCTGGGGCTGATGGACAAAATCCTGCTGCATTACCTTGAGCATCGTCTACTAGTGGAGTTCTGGTTCCGTTTTGTATGGGTAATGACGGACCTTGCCCCAGGCAGGGTTTGGCGCTGAGGGTTTGAAGCTTGGGGCGTACAGTTGAAGGCTGTGGCAGGTGAAAGGTTGTCAGTCTGGTGTCCAGGGTCTTGTGGTGCGATGTTGTAACTTTACTTTGGACAAAACCAACATTATGTAGGGTCTTAATAATTGAAGATTAATTAAGGTTCCTGGATTTTAGCTGTTGTTATAAAGACGATACTCGCACCCCCCCCCCCGTGACTCAAGCCCGAACCCGCACAACTTCTTACGTGGCCCTTACACAGGACTTCTTTTCGACTTCATGGTGGCCCTGAACGAAAACCATGTGCCCGAGCCGAATAATGCATGGTCATTAATAATTACCTAGACTATTTTGGGAGTTACTTGCTATGGTTATAGTATAATACCCAAACACGACTCTAATTCAAAAGGCCCCTTTTTGTGCTCCTGAAACTGCCACAACCGGCTATGATAAACCGCATCCAGCCCTTACAACTACAACAACCCTAAAACAACCCACATCCCTACACCCTCAACAACCCCAAAACTTAAACCTCAACCTTAAACCCCACACCCTTAACCCTAAACCTCAAGCTTAAACCCAAAACCCTCAACCCTGAACCTTAAACCTCAACCTTAAACCCAAAACCCTTAACCCTAAACCTTAAACCTCAAACCTTAAACCCCAAACCCTTAACCCTGAACCTTAAACCTCAACCTTAAACCCAAAACCCTTAACCCTTAAGCCTAAACCTTAAACTTCAACCTTAAACCCCAAACCCTTAACCCCAAACCTTGAACCTCAACCCGAAACCCCTAACCCTTAATCGTAAACCTTCAACCCCAAACCCTTAACCCTGAACCTTAGACCCCAAAACCCTTAACCTTAAACCTCAAACCTTAAACCCCAACCCTTAACCCTAAAGCTCCAACCTCAACCTTAAACCCCAAACCCTGAACCTTAAACCCTAACCCTGAACTCATAAAGCCCTACAGAGCCCAAATCTAGCCGAGCCGTGGAACGACCAAGGGCTGGCCAATGATCTCCTCCAGGGTTTTAGGGATTTAGGAGTTTAGGGCTCAGGAGTTGAGGGTTCAGGGTTTAGGGTTTCAGGGTTTAAGGGTTTAGGGTCTAGGGTTGAGGATTGAGGGTTTAGGGGTTTAGGGTTTAGGGTTCAGGGTTTAGGGTTTAGGGTTGAGGGCTTAGGGGTTAAGGGTTTAAGGGTTAAGGGTTCAGGGTTTGGGGTTTAGGGTTTTGCTTCTTTTATAAGGGGTGCGATAGGGTTCTATACTAGCGCCCCCCGTTGAAGGGTACTCCAGGGTTCCACAATAGGGTCCCCTGAAAAGGGTACTATAGGGTTCTACCAAAGGGTCCCCGTGATGTAACGGGTTTTATAGGTTTCGGTATTATACGCTTGCAGGCTCCTTAAAGGTGTTGGTGTGCATGTAGTGGTTTGTTATACACGGCTTTCCGGATTTTGTGAAACCGACAGGTCTTGTGAACAGCTGTCAGAATTGTTTATGTCTGTTGTAAGAAGGATGGTGGTTTTGGGAGCATCCTCGCTGGAATTCACAACAAGGGCCCTGGCGTTGAGATATCGGAAGTCTAGGCTTTGGGGCGCCCTAATCTCGAAGCCGAAATAATCGGAGCCGTAGTCGAATAATTTGCCCCTTTGCACGGTACCCCTAAACATGATCTTACAACCCAAAGCCCTCAACCAGCCCCCAGAGAGCCCAATACCCCTTAATTAAGGAATATAGCTTAAATTATACTGGGCTTCATATTATGATTTAAGCTATATTCCTTAATTAAGGGGTATTGGGCGCTCTGGGCCCTAAACCCTCAAAAAACCGCTTGAAGGAACCCTTGCAGCAGGAACTTCAAAGGAGCCCCTAAAGGAACCCGTAAAGACACCCGGAAAGGAGCCCTGCAAGAATTTGATGGAAAGAACCCAGAGAGCCCAATACCCGTTAATTAAGGAATATAGCTTAAATCATAATATGAAGCCCTATATAATTTAAGCCATATTCCTTAATTAAGGGGTATTATAATCCCCTAAACCCTACGCCTATAGATCCCTTATAGATCCCTTAAAGGAACCCTAGGTATTCCTTAATTAAAGGGTATTGGGCTCTCTGGGAAACCAAAACAGCCCTGAGAGGAACTCCCTGAGATCGAGCCTCCAGGGGATCCTATCTTTAGAAGGGTCTGGGGTTTAGGGTTTAGGGTCTTAGGGTACCATAAGGGACTATAGGGGATTGGGGTTTAGGGGTTTAGGGTTTAGGGCTTTAGGGTTTAAGGGTTTTAAGGCTTAAGGATTTAGGGTTTGGGGTCTTGGGGTTTAGGGCTTAGGGATTTAGGGTTTTAGAGTTTTGGGTTATATAAGGGTGTGGGGATTTAGGTCTCTCTCTTACCTAGAGGGTCATACCCTACCACTTTTTTGGGTACCTAGTTTTATGGTTAGGTTCTCTTATATAGAAAAGTAGTAGGTACCTTAAAAAAGGGGTAGGGTATGACCCTATAGGTAGTGTTCCTTTAGAGTGCTCCTTTTCAAGGGTTCTACAAGGTTACTATAACTGGCTACTATAAGGGTACGATGGTCTAGCGGCCTTGATAGCTAGAACAGGGTTTTGGGACCCATTATAACTATACGATACATATAATCGGGAATCACCAAAATAGTATTGGCCATTATTTAGGCTCCTATAGTACAGGAACCCGACACAGACCTTACTCAAGGTACCCTTAACAAGAAGCTTGGACCCGACGCCTTAGTTCCTAAACCACTAGGGTTTAGGGTTTACCTATAGTCTGAATTGTAGTTCCTTTTTGGGGTTACCTTATAGGATCCTAATTGTATAATTGGTTAAACCAAAAACATGAACTACAATGGAGACTACAGGACCCTAAAAACCTATACTCCTGAACCTGTTTTTTCAGCACGGCCTGAGGTGCCGGCCAGCGCCTACGGAACTCGTAGCCCCGTTTTAAGGCAAGACTTCGCAGGAGAAGCTGTAGATGACAACGGACTGAAGCTTAAGCTGCAGATCCCCTGAAAGAACAGAACAATCGCAGTCTAGGGTTTGGAGAGCTTAGGGCTTTTATAGGGCCCCTAAACATCCCTAAACCCCTAACCCCTAAACCCCTAACCCCTAAACCCCTAAACCCCTAAACCCTTAAATCCCTAAACCCTAAACCCCTAAACCCTAAACCCCCAAATCCCTAAATCCCTAACCCCTGATTCCTAAACCCCTAAACCCCTAAACCCCTGAAACCCTAAACCCTAAGTTTTAAGAAGCTCGGTCCAGCTCTTCAAAGGGTGTGGGCTTCTTGCGGTCGAAGCCCCTCTTCCGAAGCAGCAGCGAGATCGCCTGCAGGTTCAGGGCTTACAGGGTTTAGGGCTTATGGGGTTAAGGGTTTAGAGAGAGAGGGTTTAGGGTTTAGAGGGTTTAGAGAGTCTGAGTTTTGTATAGGGTTTAGTCTACGACTTATGCTTTAGGGTGTTTATAGGGTTTAGGGAAAGTTTAGGGTCTGTAGGCAGCCTTCAGCAGCTGGCCGATACCTCCGTCACTGACCCTCCGCTGGGGTGCCGCGTCCTGGAGGCTCTGGGGATCGACGTTAGAGTTGTTGGGTTCAGGCACCCTAAGGGTCCATGTACCCATATAGAGATACATGGGCCCCAAAGTACCTATATAGGGACTACATTAAGGTCATTGTATATACTAGATGAATACATGGACCCTTAGGGGCATGCATCATATATATATATATATATCTACATGTACTGGGTATGTATGTGCATGTGTAATTATGTACATCCATTGGACATAATATGTACATATATATATATACACACATGTGTGTGTGTGTGTTCGTATGAACGTAGTTATGCATATGCACAAGCAAACGAAAACAAGACAAACACAACCAACAACTGTGATGTGAACAAAAGTTTCAATGCAGACAACAGACTTCAGTACTAGGTGTAGCCATACCTATGAAAAACATAGCAAGTACTAAGTAGATCGAGTATACATGCGAAAATCAATGAATGCATGTATGAAAAGATAAGTACCAACAATAAAATACAGATCTGGAAGCGCGGCAATCTGCACCCACCCTGTAGACGGTGCTTTGATTGAAACACGGACATCATCTGCTTCTGCTGTCCTGCATCCTTTGAACAACACGCTGGCAGCGCGCAGCGCTGAGGGCGAGAGTTCTCTCCTGCTAGCACTGGGACTGTCATCGTCTATACACTTAATATCAGGAGCTTCCGAGAAATTTTGTCATGAGGATGTGAAGCACTGGGATAGGTTTCACACTGTATGCTGCCCAGTCTGACGAATCCCATGCACGTTGCAGCTCCCGGGAACGTTGATACCTCTAGCTCTCCATCCCACTACACCGGTTTAAGGTTTATAGGGCTTAGGACTCAAGCACCTCTATCGAGAGTCGAAGCCGTCGATTGAGAAGCCCCTCCTTTTTGGTTCGCTCCTTCCTGCACATTGCATGCGCCGCATTCACAACCGCGATACAACAGGAGGGTTTAGGGTTTAGGCGACTACGAAGCCTCACGGAGATCAAGAATGCAAAGGTGAGGCATGTTTGGTTTGCTTGTGTTCAAGGATCAGGCGGCGACAGCATTCTTGAACCCTTTGAAACACAAGATCTTCCTCTTCGAGCGGCCACAGCTCCTGTGTTTAGGTATAAGGAGCAGGAGCTAACTTGTCTAGGGATTGCGCTTAGGGATTCAGGTATGCCAGACCTTGCTGCGCTAAGCCCACGAGCATCACCCAGGGTTCCAGAAAAAAAATCTCAACATCCTAACACTTCATCAACATCCTAACACTTCATGTAGTGGCCTGAATAATTAGAATAAGGTTTTGTGCTCCTTTATCATAGCATAAACACAGTAAGGAACCCTTAGACTGATATTTTCTAATTATTTAGGCCCCAATATTACAACAAGGACACCCATGATCTAAGTACCATCTACAATAACCGTCAACAGCCTCAGATCAACAGTCATAGAGAAACAGCTCCTATACTATGAACCCCTATAGCACCCGAAAGCAGCAACACCCCAGAGTGCCTATAACATCTTGGAGGGAGTCACGCGGTTTAGGGCCGTTTAGGGTTTAGGGTTTATGAAGTCCTCCAAGGAGGCATCCAGGAGCGACATGACATCCCTGGCCAACCCTCGCTGCCATCCTCGGAAAAGCCAGGTTTTGGGCAAGCTCTTTCCGCTAGAAAACATGTTGGCTCCGTGTTTGGGGGGCTATAGGGCTTCTGGGGTGTAGATTTTCGGGGTTGAGTGTTTAGGATTCAAGGCTTTGAGGATTTAGGATATTGAATTTTGATCGGGAGCTTACAGAGTGAATCTCGCGTCGATTATTGGGCTTCGGGTTAAGTGGTTGCAAGATCTCTGGGTCGAGGGCGCTTGAGGCCTTGGGTGTCTAGAGTCCAGGGTTCAGGGTTCGCGCTTTAGGGCAGTACTAGAAGAGGTTCAAGATGGCTCAAGAAACAAGTTTCAGGCCGGAGGACGACAGCATTGCGAATGCAACGTTTTCAGCATTCAGCCTGAATGCAGTGCGCGAGACGGGTCGGACAGCAATGAAGACCGTCGTGCCGGCGGCCAATGTCATGACCACAAAACAGAAGCAAGAGTAACACGCAGGATTTCCACCGATCTAAGCAGACTGGCGATCGGACACAGCCCGGGAACAAGTGCCAACGTGCGAAGTAACGTTGAAGTGCTAATACTCGTTCGGGGCTGACGGCTGACGTCGACGACGAAGATGGTGATGGTGCTCGCAGTGAAGGCTGGTCATGACGATGGTGACTGGGATGAGGACCAGCACACACATGAACTGTGTATGTGCATATATATATATATGTATAACAGTAACCTTGATGTTGATGGAAATGATGGTGATGATGAGGATGATGGTTGATGTCGAATATGGAAACGATGACGACACCGAAGAATAAAGTGAACAAGCCGTCCATGCAGAAGACAAAGATGGATCAGCATTTTGATAGCGACAGTGACGAGGTTCATCAAGGTGGCTGCGACGACGATGACGGATGACGGTGATGATAGGAAGCAGGAGGAGGAAACCCTAAACCCTAAGCATCAGACCTTATGTCCGAAATCCTGCAAGCCCAAACCCGAAACCCCTAAGCCCAAATCTGCCAGAAATGAACTTCCAAAGTTAAGATCATGTAGACCCTAGAGACCCCCGACCCTAAAGCCTACCTGTAGCCGAAAAAACCTACCTCTTCAAGGATCTATATATGTATATATATATATATATATATGTATTTATTTATAGAAACCATAATAATAAGGAGCCCTAAAACGGTAGGTCTTTCCGGCTACAGGTAGACCCTGAGCCCCAAACCCGAATAAATAACTAAAGCTTCAAATCCTAAACCCTACCATTCTACAAACCGCTCAACCCCCGCGACCGGGGCCAACTCCACAGGCTCTTTGCACCGCTTCGTCGTTGTCCAAATCAGACCTCCCAGCAGCAATTCTTAAAGTCTGCTAAGGATTTAAGGAGGCTTAGAATTGGGTTCAGGGTGGAGGGCTTGCGGATTAGGATTTAGGGGCTGCAAACAGACTAATCTGACAAGGAGTGTAAGGCTCAGTTTATGGGGTTTACGGACTTGGGGGATAGGGCAAACGATTTTGCGAGGATAAAACAGGGATTGATTGCTTCTATTGGTTTTTGTGGGGTCTGATAGGGTTAAAGCGGGAGTTTACACGTATTCCTCTCAAGGACTGTGGAACTTCAACACGTGTCCCACGGCGTCCCTTGTGGACGACTGGCAGGGGACTGCCCCAAACCCTATACCATTCTCTTCGAAAACTCTCCGTCAGTCTCACAACAACCTGAAAGTAAACCCTACACCATTCTCTTCGAAATTTCTCTGTCCGTCTCACAAAAACCTGAAAGCATCAGGGAGCCGAGGCTCTTGGCATGAAGGCTTCGGATGTAGCTCGGGCTTGGGCTTGGGAACTGCCAAATGGACGGTTTAGGACTCACCTGGGGATCCAAAAACCTACTGTCTTCAGGGCGATACCCTCTAATTAAAGGGCTCATGACTTACTATTTTTGTAGGTTTTGGGGATACAGGTAGGGTTAACCCTATTAAATGGACAGGGGGCAATTCACAAACGGCGCCAAAAGGACCTGTTAGAGGCACGGCGTGAGACATCAGGGTTTAGGGCTTAGGGTTTAGGGTAACATCGCTGAGTGTCGGTATGTCGCGACAGGCCCGGAAACATGATAATGGAGCCTCAGTCTTTAGAGTATACTACGAAAGACATGCAAATAGGTACCCTGCTGTAAGGAAAAAGTCTAATGAATTATTCGCGCCCTTATTTTAAACTCAACCCTCGCTGTCAATCTTAATTCAGGAGCTCTAACAAATACCGATACCATTTTGGGCGGTTCCTTTATATATATTTATAGTAAAATGGGCCACAAAACCCAAAACCTATTCCAATTATTATTAAGGAGTCTACATTAAGAGGTTCTCAAAGCCCGGTCCTAAAGCGCGAGTTGGAGCCTGCAACAGCAAAACCGCAAGAAGGCAGAGAAAGCGAGCGAATTTAGTTTGGTGTTCTGCTGATGACGCTGCATGCTCCAAGAACCTAAACTGACAGAAGGACTTCTGCCCAGAAAGCTGAACCTCAAGCACCATTTTAAAGCACATCATGCTGACTCTTGCGCAAACCCGTAAAGCCATGTCCGGAAGCGTGCAAACCGAAAACTGAGAGAGATGCCACAACACACTCAGCAGTTGGGTTGCCAAAGGCCGAAGGTGTCGGATGCCCCCGGGCCGTTAGCACGTTTCCCCGGCTGCGACTTCCCAAAAATCACTTTGACAGGCCCATGGTTCGGGCGTCTGCAGAGTTCAACCGATCACATCTGCCTGCAAATACCCCATGCGCATCAAAACTTTCGCAACGACCAGCAAACCAAGTGTCTATCAGACCAAAGGCACTTCTTCAATCACGCGCCCGATGGTATAATAAGGTGCCCTAATGTACGAGAAGCCTCTCGCCGGCCACAAGTTTATCGTAGAGTTTCCGTAGATGCATGGGACTCATGGAAGGGAAACGAAAAACCAACCACCACAAGCACGACCGTAGTAACAACATCACCACCCACCACCAACAACAGCAGCAACAGCAACAACAACAACAGCAACGCAGCAGGGCGTCTTAGGATCACAGAAACCGCGGTGATAACGACAACAACTACATTCATACGGACCATTAGGGGGGTAGGGAGAGGGGGGGGGCCTCAATGTTCATAATAAGGACTTGATAAGGCTATTTTAAGAAATGTAATCCCCTACCCACAACGCAACCCGTGAGGCTCTCAGCCTCTGCGTCTACTAAAGGACCGAACTTAAACCCTAAACTTTACAACCCATTACACCGAAACCCTACAATTATGTAAATCTGAGGAGTGCTAGTCCAATGAAACCATGATATGCAGATCTGACTAGATCAAAGGAGAAAAGGAGGGACCCTTAATGGGGACCCCTACCCTATCACGGGCTATACAATGGGTAAATAATAGCTATGTTAAGGGTCTATATCTAGGGGTCCTTATTAAAGGTCCCTCCTTTTAACCTTGGACTCGAGTTAGCACCAGAGACTGACATAACCCTACAAACCTGAAACCCTTACGACGGTTGATGATATAAATCCTGCATGACCCATAAGACGGAATATACCATAATTCCCATAGTCTAGGGTCCTTAAGGTGATGCAGGATTTATATCATCAACCGTGTAAAGCCCTCAACTTCGACCCCAGACTGCCTGCAGGATCTGCTGCGGCTGCGCAACATCGTGTGTTGGAAGACATCACCGCGTGAGATGGGCAGCTGTCGAGTATCAAGTCCATTTTGGTTTGTGGGTTAGGATCTGCTAGGGTTTCGCAATCATGGCGTTTTAGACCTGTCCGTCGGCTGCCGGGTCGTTTTGGTGGAGATCTTATGTGACGCTTGGCCCGTTTGCTCCTAAGCCTTACATGGTGAACTTACATGGACCATCAATTCGACAACTGCCATGATAGGATAGGGTTTGTTCTCAATCCGGGCCGCGAAAAGGTGCCAAGACTTATCATTTACTGGAGCTATCTATGTTTTGTTGGTCCCATTAACATACAGATGGTTGCAAATAATTAACTCCGAACCCCCATGTTTTGACTCTACAGTACCTGGAGTGCAAAACATACCTCTTTCAGGATTTTCCCACTAAGGAAAAACATAATAAGGAACCCGCAAGGGGCACACTCTTTGGGGTTCTGGTAGACGCTGTGTGAGTCCAAATTTGGTGTTTGGGGTTGGGTAATTTACGGTTTGGAGCTTGAAAGATGGTCACGGCTGCTGGGTGAGGTCGAAGTACTTGGGCGTTGTTCTTTGCTTCTCAGCCAGCTTCGTGCGTCTTGACGCTGAGTCGGGCGAGCTGAAGACGTGGAGTCACCAGTATTTCAGTTGAGGCACTATGATTTCGAGACCAGTCCAAGCTGTTAGAATTGAAACACTTATAAAGACCGACATAAATATGTAGACACGTATATCTATGTATAATATGTATATATATATAGATATATATACATACATATATATATATATACATACATATATCTACACACATACACGCATACATACACGCATGCAACCAGCTACATACATGTAGAAACTTGGGCCAGGAACTCGGTCCGAGTTCCTGAAAATTAGAAGCACACCCGGTGCGCAGATGCATACTCTCGCAACGCAGCTGTCTGTTGCACATTGGAAGCAGCTTGTTTCTTGAGGTTGACCTTATTACACCCACGTAGAAATGTAAATGTATGTGTGTGTATATATATATGTATACATACATACATTGCTTCCAGACCTTAGCAACTGGAACCATGATGCGTTGATGTACTCGCAAGCCGGGTTCACTACTTACTTCGCTTTGAAAGGCGGCTTCTCCCGGTCTTCGTGGTGTGGTGCAGTGTCGACGGCACGTAATTGGCAAGAATGTTTTGGACAGGTTGTTCGAAGCATGCGTTGGATGCACTTCCCGGGTCCATGTACCCAAAGCGGCAGTCCCTATATAGGTACTTTGGGACCAAAGTATTTACTGTTTGGGTACATGGACCCTCAGGGTTAAGCTGATTCCACAAAAACTGACATAGCTGACAGCAAACGCCTCAGGCCAAAGATCCTGAAACATAACTTGGGCACGGCCCCCATACAGTAACAGTCTATATTAGGGCTACTATTAACGGCCTTATATATCTTTATCATGAATATTATCCAAGTGTTACTGAGTGGGGGCCGTACTCAAAACATAACCCCGGCTGTGAAGGTCTCTTTTCCTCTGTTGAAATACCACCACATCCAAGAAGAACTGGGAAGCAGCCTCCTGCCAGGCAGTGAAAAGAAGAGATCGGACATAGCCCAAGTAAGCCATAACCGTTCGGGTCCTTGGACTCCCGGGTAAGGGCTCAGGGTTTAGGGTTTAGGGTGCTTTGGACTTTAAGATCGGGGGTCATCTTCAGTGTCACCGTCAGCACCGTAAATGCTGCCTTCATGATCGTCACCATCACCGTAGCCGTCGAAATCATGACCATCACTACCACACTCATCAACAGCATCATGATCACCGTCGTAATCATGGTCATCATGCGTGACTCAACGGAAGCGACGATTTTATTTAGCACAAGGTTTCCCACTCGTCACAAGCGTCAACCGCCAGGACCCGCTCCTCGGGATCCACCTCAAGCATTGGCCGAAGCCGTGCCCAGACGTCCGAGTCAACGCCTTTGGGGCAGATGGCTGGGCAGGGAACTGGCTTCGAATGGCAAACATCGCCAGTGCGAGTTTGTCGCGGCCCTCCTCCAGCTGCAGCAGTGTCTGGCCAGTAAACAGATAATAAATGGACATGGCAGCGCTCAAGACATCCAGGGCCCTTGTTTGAACAAGGCCGGACAACACCTCCGGAGCCATGAAGGCTATTGTGCCCACAGCGCGAGTGTCACTGTCCTCTTCCAGCACAGCATCGCCGAAATCAGCATCACCATCACCGGAACTTACAACAATTCACGGATCCATGCTGGTATTTGGTTGCAAAGACTTCCACTTACCTGCATTGCTGTCTGCATGAAGGTCTCAACTCCTGCACAACACCTATACGATGCGAGGTTTAAATAAACAACACCCCGTGCTCCAAACGAAGACTGAAGTGCTGAACTCTCAGCGCCCCAATCAGTTGAAACAGCATCAAGCATAAATCACGTGTCGCCGAACAATGTAGGAACCTGATTAAGAAGCCTTGGGCCTTTATGAGGGTTCCGTATACGAATCCCACTATTTTGGGGGTTATAGGCCCAGGGTTTCTTGATCAGGTTCCTACAGTAACACCGAATACCACATATCCGTCATCCCGAGCTGTTCTGCGAATGAGAGAAGGCCTCACGTGGATTGTTTAGGGACTGAGATATGGGTGGTTGTCAAAACTAGGGTCCCTTTTTGGGTCCTTATTATCACTCGGCACCTACTATTTAGGCTACCCAGAAAGGAATTCTAGTTTCGTTTGCTACCCATATAAAGCTTAGGAGTTTAGGCCAAGGCATAGGCTGCGCATTACATAGTATGTAAGCTTGGGTCAGGTGTCAAGAATGAGGGTTTGAAGATTTGATAAGAGCCTACAAAATTAGAATAGGGTGTTGGGGTATACTGTACTGTAACTATGATTGATTATTAAGGCCGCTGTATTAGCCAGATCCCCCAACTCCATTTTGACCGTCTATAGGGGCCTCAATAATTGAATTAAGTTTGGGGTATATTATACCATAACTATAATAAGGAGCCACTTGAATCCTAAACCAACTCCATTTCGACTGTTTACCGGGTCTGTGTGGACCCAACTGGCGGGCACCGCACCTCGAACTGCAGCTGCGAGGCTTTCAGTGTCAGGACAGGGCGCGCGCCGCCCTCCTTGCGGTTTACGGTTTACTAGCACCTAAGCCTCAAATCCGAAACCCTAAACCCCAAACCCTTAAATCCTAAACCCTAAGCCCTAAACCCTTAAATCCTACACCCTAAACCCTAAAATCCTAAACCCTACGCCCTTTAAGCCCTTTCGCGTTTCTTTGGAGGAGAGGGGGAGGGATGCCACGATCCTGAACCCTGACAGCCTAAGCCCTGCATCCCCAACCCTCAAAAACCGAAAGTAGACATTCATAAGGGAGTTTCCGAAAGGGGTTCCTTTAACGGGTTCCTTTAAAGGGATCTATAAGGGTTCTTTAAAGGGTTCCTTTAAAGGGATCTATAAGGGTTCGATAAAGGGTTAAGGGTTTAGGGTCTAGAGTTTCCGAAAATTAGGGGTACCTTCTTTTGGGGCCCTTTACAATAAGGATCCTCTTGTTTAGGGTACTATACTGGGGTCCCCTATTTTCGGAAACTCGCATAAAAGAACCAACTAGCCAAGCCCCAAACCCGAAGTCGCAATGACCGAGTGAACAATGCCTTGCCTTGGTTTAGGGTTTAGGGTTTAGGGTTTAGGGTTTAGGGTTTAGGGACCCTAAACTGAAAGCCGAACGCCCTCAATATGATACCTTGCCTGGCAAAGTGGAAGAGGAGAATTTGGGCTGGCAGCTGCATGGTTCGGCATTGAGCGCTTCTGAGCCATTACATACTCATTACGCAAACCCCTGCCCCACCGAATCTCGGCAAGCCTCCCTAGGCAATGGGTTCCCCTTTCAAGGTTACTAGGGCCAAACCCTAGTAAGGAACATCCAGCCCTAAACCCTAAACTGTTCAGGGCACGTCCAGATGGGTGGTTATCAAAATTATGGCCCCTTTTTGGGTACCCTAAGTATTAGGTGCCGTATTATATTAGGAACCCAAAAAGGGACCATAATTTTGACAACCACCCAGATGTTGAAGTCTAAAGAGTTCAGGGCAGTCGAGATGACTGGTTTAGGATTTCAGGGACCTCGGGATGACTCACGAGACCAAACACAGCCAGGAAAAGAAATACTACCTAGGATACCCAGTAACCTAAGAATAAAAAGGCCTCTCTTTTTGGTATCGGGTAACTTTATAAGGAACCTAGGACTACGAACAGGGAATAGGGGTACTACTGGGCATCCTAGCTACAGACCTTTCCAAACCCTAGAACGTTGCAGAAAAGAGGAACAACCTTCAAAGTATCTAAGAGCAATCCTTGCGGATTTCCCAAGATCAGTCCTAGCATAATATCCCCCAGGCCGTTGGTCTTAGCACTCAGGCTCCTGCATCATGCCCCACAACCCGAAGGGTCCCAGGTGCTGTTATGGGGGATAATTACTGCCTCAAATCATAATAGCATGTCCCAATATAGAAACCCCACAGTCTACTATATAGGTACCCCCAAAACCCTACACCCCAAACTCTTAACCCATATAGCAACCGTGATATTAAGTAGCCCTTACCGGACCCCCCCCCCCCGGAGACTTTGGACCCTTTCAGTACGGGAAAGGGGCTCTGCAAGAGATGCAGACGAAGCACTCCGACCAGGGTGTCCGCAACCTCTGCAGAAAACCTGAACGAATCATTTCCGAAGGGTCCATCTGCCCAAACAGGGTTCAAGGGCTTCCGTCTTTTTGGGGTGACGGGTTGAGGGTTAAGGATTGGTTCAGGACTTGGGGTGCCGGGGTTACAGGGTGTTATTTGCTCTTTCGTGTGATGAAGGTTTGGTGCTTCCGACTTGGAGATTTTACTTATCAACACGACGCTGCTGTAAAATTCATTGTCAGGACTGACTTGCGAGGGTTTAGGATCTAGCATTTTAGGGTTTTAGGGTTTCTGGTTTGGAGCCAAAGCGTCAGTCGCCTGAAACACCAACCATGCATGGCTATCTGTCTCAACACCGTTAGAGAGTAGCTAGCCAGCTTACCCAGAAGCGTTGAAGGCATCAAGAGAAGTCGCCTGTACCTGGAGTTACTCCCTACGATGCCATGCAAATACCACCACTTATCTTTCATGTTGTGACGCAGACTCACTTGCCAAAACCTCTATAAACAGAAGATCCCTCATCTATTGTTAGGGTTTTGGTAAGATTTCCGTGAAACTGCGACTTTTTGGGCATCGATCCTGAGGACTCCACAAATTCAAGCGGGCTTTCGGTCATCACATACTGCCAGAAGACCAGCCAACATTTTATTGCGATCCCAAGCCCGAAGTTCGAATTATCAGGGAATCCGGACCTTTGTATGTACCACAACCTCGCATCTCACAACCCCTGGCAACACCTAGAGGTCCGCGGTGGGCGCTGGTGCATGGAGGTGGAGCGAAATAGAAAACGACAGCCGGCAAGCTCAAACATATAGTCGTGAAGTTTATAAACAAAACACAGTAGGGAAACGTTGCTGTTAACAGTCAGATTGGAAGCCCACTTTCACGCCGCTGTCCAGTTGAACGACGGCAAAGATGTGGTGAGACCTGAGGTCAGGTGAGTTAAGCAGCTTGCTCCCAAGTTTCGACATACAGGGGCCTTAATAACTAGAATAGGGTTTTGGGGTATATGATACTATAACTCTAGTAAAGAACCACCAAATATGTACAGGGTAATTGTCAAGGTCCCTATACTCGGGACAGTAGGGTTGAGAGTTTAGGGTTTCGAGAGGTTTATACTAGGGCCCAACGGGGGTTGCACAGGGACTCGGCACGCAGCTTCAATTCGTGAGAGCCACGCCAAGAGCTTATCATCAGGCAGCCAGATCATGCAGAGCCTCATGAACATTAGGTAGAATAGGTTTCGAGATTTAGCCCAGGGTTTCTTGACGCTGAATGGGTTTTGGTGGTATAGTATACGTCGTCTGTTGCAACCCCACAAATTCTGAAGCTACCAGCCTCATTGTTTGAGCACGCTGCTAGTGTACCGCGTCAGTCTACTACACAGAGCTGCTACTTGTTGCAAGCCTGCTGCGTGTGTATAGCATTGAAGCTGCTGACACATTACATAATCTTGTGCACAAACGGCTTACCCTAATCCCTAAACCACTTGAACCTCTTCAGGGCTGAAACCACTTGGAGGCTCATGGGTAGTTATGAGTAGGGTTTCAAGTAGGATAACTATACTTATAACCCATATTAGGGGACTTATGACCCTACTTATAACTACCCATGTACCTCCAAGTAGTCCCTAAACCCTATACCCTTATAGAACCCCTATACATCCCTTTAAAGGGACCCTTGAAGGAACTCTTATAACTACCCATGAACCTCCAAGCAGCAGTCAAGTGGCCCCACGTGAACACCAGGCTATCTTAGGTTTTCTGCTGCAGCATGCTGCAAAGACAACCTGTTGAAGGCCGAAAGAGCCATCATAGAGCAGCTACAGTAGTTCCTCCTCTTCCTCTTCCTCCTCCTCTCTCTCTGTCTCTTCACCCCACGTCACGAACGATCCATCGGCAAGAACTGCAACGAAAGCCCTGGAAGTGGCTTGGATCTGGTGCACGGTCTTCAGCTGGGCCTGTACACCACTACTGTCGCCACCTTCAGCAGGATAACCCCAGGTCGCGACCGATCCATCAGCAAGAATGGCAGCGAAAGCTGTGGAAGTGCCTTGTATCTGGTGCACATTCTTCAGCTGGGCCTGCACACCACTACTATCACCACCTGCATCAGGATCACCCCATGTCACGACAGATCCGTCGCCACGTATGGCAGCGAAAGCTCCGCTATTGGCTTGAACCTGGTGCACATTCTTCAGCTGGGCCTGCACACCACTACTGTCACCACCTTCGCCACAATAACCCCAGGTCACGACTGATCCGTCAGCAAGAATGGCAGCGAAGGCTCTGGTAGTGGCTTGGATCTGTTGCACATTCTTCAGCTGATCCTGCACAGCACTACTGTCACCACCTGCATCAGGATGACCCCATGTCACGACAGATACGTCGCCAAGTATCGCAGCGAAAGCGGCAAGATTGGCTTGAACCTGGTGCACATTCTTCAGATGGCCCTGCACACCACTACTGTCGCCACCGTCGGAAGAAGCACCCCAGGTCACGACTGATCCGTCAGCAAGAATGGCAGCGAAGGCTCTGGTAGTGGCTTGGATCTGTTGCACATTCTTCAGCTGATCCTGCACACCACTACTGTCACCACCTGCATCAGGATCACCCCATGTCACGACAGATTCGTCGCCAAGTATGGCAGCGAAAGCTCCGCTATTGGCTTGAACCTGGTGCACATTCTTCAGCTGGGCCTGCACACCACTACTGTTACCACCTTCGGTAGGAGAACCCCAGGTCACAATTGATCCATCAGCAAGAATTGCAGCGAAAGCTGTGGAAGTGGCTTGGATCTGGTGCACATTCTTCAGCTGATCCTGCACACCAAAAGTGTCCTCACCTTCCTCAGGTTCACCCCATGTTACGACAGATCCGTCGCCAAGTATGGCAGCGAAAGCTCCGCTAGTGGCTTGAACCTGGTGCACAGTCTTCAGCTGATCCCGCACAAACCTACTATCGCCACCGCGTGAAACATCGCCCCATGTGACGACGGAGCTGTCGCTGAGAATCACAGCCAAAGAGGATGGATTGGCCTGAACTCGAACTGTGCTTATATGTAGAACCAGTGCATCACCATCCTGCAGCCGGGCGTGCTTGATGGGTGCACATACATCCAGAACGACTCCCGATGAGTCCATCAGCCGCCCGTTTCCCACTTGGAGTGCCGTCTCCGCGCGTCGCTTGAGTGTTCCCACTTCCTCCTCGAAGTCCGCTTTCACAGCAGCTGTCCTGCCACTGAGCAAGCCAATTTGCACGGTAAGCGACATGCTGCGCGGCGGAAAAGTCGGGGGCTCTAAATAATAATAATAATAACAATAACAATAATAATAATAACAATAATAATAACAATAACAATAACAATAACAATAATAATAACAATAATAATAATAATGATAATAATGATATTCATAATAATAATAATAATAATAACAATAATCAAATTTCATATCTGAAAAGGGATCAGGCTCCAGGGTCTGGCTTCTGTGCTCCCCCATCTTGGGCCTTGCACTTAGACTCAGACATGGGAATTTCTGGAAATTAGGGGTACGTTACTTTGGGGTCCCTATATTAAGGGCCCTATTATTTCGGCTACTATATTAGGGTCCCCTATTTTCGGAAACTCCCATATGCCCGCTCGAAGGACCTACTTGAAGGATCAGGGGACTTAGTAAGTAGGGTTGTAAGTTCCTTAATATGGGTTGTAACTATAGTTGTCCTACTTATAACCCTACTTGTAACTACCCATGAACCTCCAAGTAGCGACTGTGATGTCTGTCGGGAGATCCGGTCGGGCTTTATGCTCAAAACCCAGACCCAAGAGTAACCTGGGAATAAAAAGGGGGGCCCTTTTTGGTTTAAAGGGGGTTATAAGGGAACCTAAACCCTAAAAAAGGGGAATAAGGGCCTACTCCGGGTCCTACTTGGAGGGTCGGGGGACTTAGTAAGTAGGTAGTAAGCAGACTTACAAGTACCCTAAAAGGGACCCTAATTGGGGTTATGGTACTTATAAGTCCCCAAAATAACCAGTTACTAAGTCCCCCGACCCTCCAAGTAGCCTCCAAGCCCGACATAAAACATGCACCCTGCCTTACCCTAAACCCTAAACCCCTGTCTCTAAAGCTCACACCGCCAAAGGCTGAGCTGAAAGAAGGCGGCTTGTAAACTAGGGGCCTTAATAATTTGAATAGGATTTGGGAGTATAATATATTAAAACATATTGTAAGGAACCTCAAGATAGTTCTAGGTAACTATTAAAGCTCCTAAAGTATTTTGGCAGAAGGTAGCTGAAGCGAGCAGTTCAGTGATCTATCCGGGACAAAACCCGATGCGCACGACACATGATAGTCTGGCATGTGGGAGTTTCCGAAAAGAAGGGGTACCTCATTCTGGGGTCCTTATAATAGGGATCCTACTGTTTAGGGTACTATGTTAGGGTCCACCATTTCCGGAAACTCCCATGTAGTGTAGAGGCCCTAGACTGCTTAATATAAGCGCCTTAATAATTAGAATAGGCTTGTGGGGCCCATTCCATCATGATTATAATGAGTACCCCGCAAAATAGCTGTTTTTAGTTATTAAGCCCTTATAGTATGAATAGATATTACTCAACTCTTCCCTAGTATTTATGAACCTAAACCCGAAACCTGAAACCGGCAGAGGGGGCAACGGGTTCAAAGCCAGCCTCCCGTATTTGGTTGCAACTGATTACAGCAAAACTGGTTTAGGCCCTTATCATTTTTGAGGACGTCTCTCGCTCAAGAATCTGCTGAACGTCCAAGCCTATCTCGAACTCCGGCAGAACACGGATGAACTGTATGGGTCCCTGTTTTGGGGCCCTGAGGGCCTGACATTAAGATACGATTAAGATACTATTACTTACGGTCTATGTTAGGGTCCGGTAATTTCTGAAACTCCCACTTGAAACTCCTGACCCCAGGAGCCCAAACCCCTGGAACAGCATGCAACGCCTCAAGACCGTGGGGCCGTACGACCATAAGGGAACGACAGCTTACGGTTTGGGGTACGACGCAGTACAATTGAATCTTTGGGGCTGAGTACCCCAGCCCAACAAAGGTTAACCTTCTCAATCATGGTAGGGTTATATGAACCCCAAAAGGTTGAATGTTACATACACAGCTATTGGCCCAAAGGTCGTAAGCACGTAAATGGTAGAATGTAGAAGTTCTACATCAGAAAATACTATTCTGGTTCGGGGAAGTATCCCCCACAACAGTGCCCAGGACCGTTTGGGAGAAGGCATTAAATCATTATATGAGATCTACGATGACTACGCTTCACAACTAGAATATGGTTCCTTTAAACGGGTCTATAGAGGATTTATAGTAGGGTTCTATGATATAGGGGCCTTCGTATTTAGAATAGGCTTCCTCCTTGAAGCCTAAAACCCAGGGCTTATCAAGTTCAAGCTTTCAGAGCAAGACCACATCATAAGCGCAAAAACAAATGAAAAGTTGCGTATTGGACCAATAAGTCCTATGTACACATACATATATATATATATATATATAGATACAGATATGTATATATATATATATATATATAGATAGATAGATAGATAGATATAGAGGAGTCTTTAGGGGGGATCTATCTACGGCCTCTTGGAGATCTGGGACTCAAGCGCGGTACGAATACTATGGCAGGGTTTAGGGTTTGGGGTTGGGGGTTTTAGGGTTTAGGGTTTACCTTACTTGGAGGTTCATGGGTAGTTATAAGTAGGGTTATACGTCCCCTAACATAGGTTATAACTGTAATAGCTATCCTACTTGTAACCCTACTCATAACTACCCATGATCCTCCAAGTAACCCCAAAGAACCTGCCCTTTAAGGACTTATATAAGGAAATTAATAGGGAACCCTAAAAAGGTAGCTTCTTCAGGGTCTAGGTAGCATCTAGGATCTTTAGCCCAGAACTTCAGGTCTCGAACTGCCGCTACCCTACTTACTTGCAAGGCTAAGTACCCCTGAACCCTGTTCCAAGTGATGCTGGTGTTTGATAGAAAAGAACTAAGTTAGTCGATGTTCTGACTGGGTATACATAATTATAATGTGTGGGAAGATTGATTGATTGATTGATTAAACGATTAAACCCTAAACCCTAAACCCTGGATTGATTGGTTGATTGATGGCTTGGTTGATGTGATGGTGTGCATCTCCCAACCTCAACGTCGGACATCAGAAACTTCAAAACCCTGCACACTGAAGCCTTTCGGCCCGAATTACCAAACTTCTTGTTTGGGGTTTAGGGTTTGGGGTTTAGGGTTTAGAGGGTTTAGGGTTTGGGGCTTAGGGTTTCGGGGCCTTTGGGGGGTCTACGTGTTGAAGGTTTAAGGCCTGTGGTGCTGAGTTGATGGAGGGACCCCAAGTCAGCAAACTCCTGGCTTCTGTTCTACACTTGATGTTGGCCATTCGGGGTTCCTTTAGGGGGTTCCTTTAAAGTGATCTATAAAGGTTCTATAGAGAGTTTTGGGTTTAGAGTTTCCGAATTTTCGGGGTACCTTGTTTTGGGGTCCTTGTAACAAGGATCCCGCTTACTATTTAAGGTACTATTTTAGGGTCCCGTCTTTCCGGAGAAACTCCCATATGGTGCATCCCTAGAGTGATAGACCGCAAACATTGGAAAACCTGCGAGGACGAGGCTGTTTACCAACATTATTCCGGGGATTCCTTCTTATAGTTTTACAATAAAGTACCCCAAGACCCCATTCCAATTCTAAAGGCCCCTACATGACATATGCCAGACTATGCCCAGGGGCAGCAGCAAGCAAGGACTGGATCATTCGGCCCTGTCTGTGGGCTGGGTCTTGGGGCATCTTCGTCGATGGGCTGCGCCAGTTCGGGTTCGGGGGTTGCCGGGTGTGGGCTTAGGCTCATTCAAGGAAGAAGCGACAGAAGTTGGGAATCACTTCGTCTCGTTACGGCTCTCAAATCCTGGTAAATCGCGGTGGCTTGTGGCAAAGAGCTTTCGCAGAGCATGCGGTTGAACGCTTGAACATCGGAATTTGCTTCTTCGCTGGTATGTCTGTGGCTGTAAGTGTCTAACATATCTTTCGGAGCCCAGAGCTTGATTCGATGGATGCTTTTGTTTCTGCATTGCAAGAACAACTTGGAGGTTCATGCGTAGTTATATGTAGGGTTCTGAGTAGCTATCCCACTTGTAACTGCCCATGAACCTCCAAGAAGGCAAGCACCAATGCAAAACCCAAACCCAAAGCTCTGGAAGCGGCGAATCATAGGACTTCAGCTTGTAGGCCAGGACGGTGCATCAAGATAAGAGCGGGCTAAACCCTGCAAAAAACCCAAAGAACCTACCTAGCTAAGGACTCATAGAAGGAAGCCATAAATGGACTCCAATCCTGTCCCTACTGATTCCTGTAAAAAGGTAGGTTCTTCAGGGTCTAGGTACACTCTAAACCCCTGCTCCCAAACTCCTGAACAAAATTGCTGCGGCTTCTTCCACCTACCCAAGGCCTCCATGCTGGGATTAAGGACATGGAGAGTACCAGAGACACCCTGAACCCTGAACCTTAACCTCCAAAATCCTAAAACTCAAAACATAAACCTTGGAGTGCTAGACCTAAAGGAAAACGGCAAAAGACCTGAAGCAGAAGACAAACTTTGACATCCAGGATCTCAAGTGACCACGTCTTGTTTGTATTTGGTACTGCCCTCATACAGTAACAGTCTGCAGTGGGGCAACTATTAACGGCCTTATCTACATTATAAGCATTACTCCACCACTACTGAGTGGGTGCAGTATCCAATGTTTGTTGTCCATTCAGTGACGCGCATCATAGGTATCGAGGACTCCTGCGTCTGCATTCAGTAGACAGTTCCATTCCTAGCATGTGTTTTCAACACCAGGAGCCCATATAGTTGGTAGAGCCTAAAACATGGAGGTTCTTCTTACTCTAAGGGTCCATGTGCCCAAATAGTATACATTGTGGCCCAAAGTGCGTATCTAGGGACTACTTGCAGGCCATAGTAAATACTATCTGGGCACATGGACCCTTAAAAGGTTACAATGTACGAAACCCCTGCATCAAATTTGAGAGACAACTTGGGCACTGACCCCTTATACAAGCCTTACAAAATACGAAAGCAACGCCGCACGATGAAGCTGAAACAGCACTACAATGACTACAAGCCCGACCAGCCGAGGCCTTTGCAGAAATAGGAAACTACGTCTACTCCCTGCTCTATGGCGAACAGCCTCTGCCAAAGTTGGATCCCATCCACTGAAGAACTCCTCAGATCTTGTATGTTTGGCGGCACAGCTGGCATAAAGGGAACTCCAGAAAGTTGGAATATGGATTAGTGGTCGGATCCCTTATAATTTGCCTTAAAGGGGTTACGATAATGATATTCCGACTTTCTGGAGTTCCCTGTAGGTTTAATGTACAGCCGAAGGCTTGGGAAAGAGCAGGCTGCAGCCTCTTGAGGTCTAGGAGTTGGGGTTTGCAGGATTGGGAGTACTGTAGGGGTCTTAATTACGTATTAGAACCGGGTGTGGGGGCCCATTCGCCTATAGTTATAATAAGGAACCCCCCAAAATAGTATTGGTAATTATCTCGGCCCCTCCATTACGGGGGATGTAAGGTTTCGGGTGCAAAGTTAGAACGCTGGGAGTCCGTGCTTCGAGGGGAAGAGAAACTCCCATCTGTTAAAGGGAACTCCAGAAAGTTGGAATATGGTTTCAGGGTAGGATACCCTATAATTTACCATAAAGGGTTTAGGATAATCATATTCCAACTTTCCGGCTTTTACTTTATGGGTTTATAAGTTTACAAGGGGTTCAGGGCTTAGAGAGAAGGGTTTAGGGTATGGAACGTGCATGCTGCTGCCCATGGACCGAACTCACATTAGCCAGGATGAACGAAATGCAATAATTCGCTAAGTCTGGGCTCTTTCCTATAGTTCAAAACCCTAAACCCTAAACCCTAAACCCTAAACCCTAAACCGTGTACAGATGCTCAGGTGCTCGATTAGAGACTGGACCGGCCCGGCCCTTTATTCCCGCAAATCAATGCAACAGCTCTACTCCCCTTGGAAGGTAAGCAAAAAACTACTTTTTGTCGGAGACCCCTATAAAAGAAGACCGGAACCAAAAAAGGAACAAAGTAACAAAGTCTCCAAGAGCCTTAACAGGAGATAGTCTTCAAGACTACAGGCGAAGGTCAAAGTAGTTTGTGCGGCCACCTGCTACCACCTCGCATCCCAGATAGCGATCATCCCTGCTCACATCGTATGCACAAATCCCGAAACCCTCAACGGCCCTGAACCCTGAACCTCAAGCGCAAATCCCTAAACCCAAACCTTGAACCTTAAACCTTGAACCCCAAAGGTTTCTTCATCAATAGAGCCCCCCCTCTTCAAACTACAAGGGACCGCAACGTGACATCAATTCAGAAGCAACATGAAGCTGACTACCCTAAAGCCCCCAACTCTCGAAGCCTTGTCTCTAAGCCCTCATAAACCCAAGCCGTAAGCCCGAGTTGAGGTGGCTGCTCAAATCACCGAAAACCTGAGGGTTTTTGGTTTCGATGAACATCTGCGGAATCTCACAGCACGACCGGCACCCAAGATCCCAAGCCCAACACCGGAAACACTAAACCCTAAACCCTAAGCCCTAAACCCTAAACCCCCCAGAAACGAAGCCCGTTGAACCTTTATAAAGCCAGAACAGTCCAACAGCCAAGAATAGGTCTCAGTTTCCATGCACTGGAGACCGGTGAGGATCTGCGAGTAGTTCGCAAGGACGTCCCTGGAGAGATAGGGAACTGGGAGGTTCCTGGGTATAAGAGCCTTGCATAACCCTAAGGGTTCAAGTACCCTACTAATCGTATACGGTCAAAAAAAGTAACCTACATCGAGAATCTAAACCCTGACCAAGAACCATAAACCCTCTAACCCTCGACCCTCTAACCCTAAACCCTAGACCCTAAATCCCAAACCCTCTAACCCTAAACCCTCAAACCCTAATCCCTAAACCCTCATACCCTAATCCCTAAATCCTCAAACCCTAAACCCCTAATTCCTAATTGCTGGGTAACGACGAGGCTATGGTTTGGGGCTTAGGGCAGTCTCCTACTCTCCGTAAATCCCAGTGCCCTAGGAGTTGGGAGGGGTTTAGCGTTTAGGGTTTGAAGGCTTAGGGTTTAGGCTTAGAGGGTTTGGGGTTAGAGGGTTTAGGGTGTAGGCTTAGAGGGTTTGGGGATAGAGGGTTTAGGGTTTAGATACTCGGGTCTGGGGTAGTAGTTATGTAGGTTACTTTTTTTGACCGTATAACCAAACCGGTTTCGGGATCTAAACGGCATACTTTGTGCATGCATATATATATATATATATATACACATGTGTATGAATACATGTACATAAAGTTCTGCAGAGGTTCCTATAGAAGCGTTACCTGACGGGTATCTAGGGGGCTTTGTTGAGCGAGGAGGGCCCAATGGGTCGACCGAAGTTCTGATCTCACAGCTGTGTTTTTCGGGGCTTCTCGAATTTACCTATGGTCTCCATTGTAGTTCTTTTTTGGCGTTACCTTATGGGATCCTTAATATATGACTGGTTAAACCAAAAAAAATCGACAATTCAGGGCACGCAGTTGGCACTTCAAGTCTTGCTCACGGATTTTGCTTGAATCTGAAGCACTTGTCCCTAAACCCTAAACCTCCTAAACCCTAAACTCCCTAAACCCCAAATTTTCCTTTAACGGGGTCCTCAAAGGGTACCTCTGAAGGGTTCTATAGGGTTTAGGGTACAAGGGTCCATGGCACCTTTATTTTTATATACTCAAGCTTTAAAATGGGCCTACAACCGACCGACTTCTTCCTTGCAGCTAACGCACTCTTCGAGCTCGGAGGACCCGGAAGTTTCCACAGGAACAGCAGCAGCCGCGATCCTGGGATCCGATATGAGTCTGCTTAGGTTTTTTTCTGGGGAACCCTCTTTTCCTCCTGCCCGTTCGGTTAGTTGAAAAGCCAATGTGGCTGAGGGGCTTGTCTGCTTAGGGTTTAAGGTTCAGGGTTTACAGTAAGGTTTCCCCAAACCCTAAAGTCTAGACACGACATTAATCCCTAAACCGCGTAGTAGGGTGGGATGTGGGGCGTTTTGGGATTTGGGAAACTGAGGCTTCGACGGATGTTGGGATTCGGACGTTGGTCTTGGGTGATCTGGTATCTACCCATAGGCCCCAGGGTAGTTCCTCTTTGGGATTACCTTATAGGATTCTATATATGAGCCCCAAAAAGGAACTACTAACTATGGGGCCTTAGGGTACTTACGGCTCTTATTCGGGTTTCCTTCAAGGAGTCCCAAAGGTATGGGGCGGCTTCTTGGGCTTTAAGTTTGACGCCTGCTTTTGACAGCTAAGCTGCGATTGTAGCTAAGGCTGCCAAGACCAGAGAAAACGAGCACAGAGACACACACACACACACAGAGACACGCACCGCACCGTACATATCTTACCTACATACATACACGATTAATTGCATACATTCGTACGTACATACACACATACACCCGTCACGATCGGCACCTATGCAGATTATCTCTATCGCTCTCGGTCTATCGGTCTCTAACCTTCTGTCTGTGTGTTTCAAACTTCACAAATGCGTTAACATTCGCGAACTGACAAAAAGAAACTTTGGCAGTTTCCTGTAACCTGGGCCGATAACTCAAAACCTCCCATGCCAGCACGAGCCCTGTAGCAACCCTCTGTCTTGGGCACGAAGCCCTGAATCCTTAAAGCCTGCCCTAAATCGCAAACTCAAAAGCTTTGTCGAAACCTCACCAGAACCACCGCTAAGAGTCCATGTACCCGAATAGTATATACTTTGGCCTTGAGGGACTCCCTGTATGTATTGGGCCCAAGGATTATCAAGTACACGGACCCTGAGGGCAAGATCAACCAAACCAGCGCCCCACTCATGATAAAACTGCCGATGATCCCCAGAGCAGAACGTCCATACCCTGCATTTTGGCGTGCGAGAGGGAGGGGTATATAGGAGACCCGGGCTGCAGCCCTTGATAATGCGTCGTAACTCTTGACCTTGCCGTGATTTTTCCCGCATTCCTGCGGATCAATTCAGCCGGAGGCGCTGCTTCAATGCAGCGTTGCATAGAAAAAGGCGCAGCTGTTCGGCCTCTCCTTGGTTGCTAGACTGGTGAAGGGAAAGGTTTCTAGGGCCTTAGGGTTCAGGGTTTGCTGAACTAGGGCTTTGGGTGTGCGACACCTGTTCTGGGCCTCAGCTTGAGGATAGAGGTTTACATGGGCCCTCAAAGAATGTAGAATACTGGCCTTTTATAGTTGCTGGGCCATTATTTTGCCAACTTTTGGGGGTCGAGGTAGTGGCAAGTGACGGCAAGGACATTTGCGCCTAGTGCTTCTGCATGCCTGACCCGCCCTTCCTGAGGACTCCTGCAGTGCGGGGGCCTTGAACTATGGATCGAGGTTAACTGTAGACTGTAAAGGGAACTCCAGAAAGTTGGATTATGGTTTCAGGGTCGGATACCCTATAATTTACCATAAAGGGTTTAGGAGAATCATATTCCAACTTTCTGGCTTCTAAATTTTACTTTAATGGAGAAACTCTCGCATGGAGTATTTCTGCATACACCGGCTCTCTTGGGTTGGCATGAAACTTCTTTTGACTACCTGAACCCCAACGAACCTACCGTTTTCACGACTTTTATAGGGAAATCCTAGTAGGGAACCCTAAGAAAAGTAGCTTCTTTAGGGTCCAGGAAATGCATGAAGTTGGGAGTTAAGTAAAGCTCTGGGGCCACTGGCTCTGCCAGACATGCAACGGGCTAGAAATCCTGTGCCGGTGGGGTCTAGGTTTGAGTTCAAACAGGCTACATATGATTTTTGTATGGGTGACTGCTGTGAAGTCTTGGGTTAAGGTTTACCACCGGGCTGGTTTCAATTTTCTGCCTTCATACCAAGCCAAGCACAGACTAAATCTTATGATGTCGCGTGCTAGGCGCTAGTTTTTTAAAGTGCTATCTTTATGTTATCGGTTAACGTATCACGCTAACCGTTACTGTAACCGTTAAAGAGGCCGTGCACAAAAAGTGCTGACATCCACAGTAAAGGGGTACTTTTTGAACACTGGCAGCTTGTTATGCATTGTTCTTACTCAATGTGGTGGGCTGTATTTTTTTGAATAGGGTTTTGGAGGCCATGTTCCGCATCGCCAGGATCACAATTTCGTCTCACTTACACATGGATCATGCGGAAGTACCGGATTGTGCATTGTTATTAATTGCTATTGGCCTGACTATCAGAGGAATTACTCTGCCGCAGGGAAAATTGTGCTACTTTCTTGAGGATGGAAAACTTATTGGGTTGGGGGTCTACGGAGGAAAGGGGATTTGGAAGCTGCTCAAGACCTACATGCAAAAGTACGACGAACTGTCGCAGTTGTGTAAGTCCAGCACGGCCTGTAAGGGGATACTGTAACTAACGATGCAGGGCATTACACTACTTCCCACTGCTGTTTGACTGGCCTACTTGGTTAAAATTACGTTCTGATCTTTTCGTACTTCTGTAGCTACTGGTACTTGAAGTAAGCTTACAAGCCCTAAACCCGAAGCCCTCGGCCCCAAACCCTTCCTGGCCTACGGACTAAGCGAGTACTCGGAGGTTCATGGGTAGTTATAAGTGGGGTTATATATGGGTTATAAGTATAGTTATCCTACTTATAACCCTGCTTATAACTACCCATGAACCTCCAAGTAGACCCTAAACCCTATACCCTTATAGAATCCCTATAGATCCTTTTAAAGGGACCCTGAAAGGAACCCTTGTAAGCGAGAAAGCTTCTAGGGAGTCCAGCCAGAGCATGTCCGAGGCCTCGGTGGCTTGGCTTTTGGCTTCGGGATTGCAGGGTCTATGGGCTACTTGGAGGTTCATGGGTAGTTATAAGTAGGGCTTATAGGGGTCCTTTAAGGGATCTATAAGGGCTCTATAAGGGTTTTATAAGAGGAGGTTCATGGGTAGTTATAAGGGTCCCTTTCAAGGGGTCCCTTTTAAAGGCATGTATAGGGATTCTATAGGGGTATAGGGTTCAGGCTCTACTTGGAGGGTCATGGGTGTTCGTAGGGTTGCAAGTAGGATAACTATACTCATAACCCATATTAGGGGACTTACAACCCTGCTTATAACTACCCATGAACCTCCAAGTAGGGTGTTTAAAAAAGGATCCGCAGGGGTTTATGGTTTTAGGGTGTTCGTTGGGTTCTCGGGCTTCTTAGGGATAAAGGTTCTCAGGTTTGTGATGTTAGATCTGAGGGTTTATGCGAGTGCAAGCGACCAAACGAAAGTGCTCTAGAGGGCTAGACAATACGAGAACAGCCGGCTTCAAGCTAGACCGAACATTTCGTAGGTTGAGACTCAAGATACATTCTACATGTGATCGGTTTATAGACATTGATGTCCCCAGGTACTGGCTAGGTTGTTGCTCATAACCTAAGCTTTCTGGAGCTTACCTGTTCTGCAAAGATGCGTATGCTAAAAGGGATCTTGTCGGAGAAAAGTTAACGCGCAGGGGATGAAAAGGGTGGGAAAGAGAGCCTTGCATTTCCTTGGTATATGTGAGTAGTTATCAAACTTAGGGTCCCTGTTCGGATCCGTATTTTAATACGGCACCTACTATTTCGGGACCCAAAAAGGTACCTGAATTTTGACAACTACCCATGTGCCATGCCGCAGGTGCCGTAGCCCGGCGGCATGGGACTTCGACAGGACGCTACAGCCGGTACCCAGAGGGCCCAATACCCCTTAAATAAGGAATATACCTTAAATCATTAGGGGCTTCATATTAGGATTTAAGCTATATTCCTTAATTAAAGAGTATTGGGGTTTCTGGGTATCCTCGTCTTACTTCCCTTCGCGGCGCAGGATCTTCATGGCGTCTGGGAAAGCTACAAGACCCTCTAAATCCCTACTGGAATGACCCCAAACCTCAGCCTAAATCATAAACCGTAAACCTTAAACCCTAAACTCTACCCCAAACCTCACCCTAAACCATAAATCATAAACCTTAAACCCTAAACTCCACCCTGAACCATAAAAAGGCCCACCCAACCCTGTGGTCCCTGGCCTAGGAGGAGCAGCCCGCGATCCTGAAGCTGTCCTTCGGCATTGCAACCTAGCGCTTCTCCAAAAAGGGGGCGGTTGAGGGCTTTGGGGTCTACCCAAAAAGGAACTACTATCCGTCCTCTGGGTAGAGTCCGGGGAAGGCTTAAGTATGGCTTGTGTTTTTTTTCTTTTTTTGCCGGACCTCTTTCTCCTCGCGAGAATGGCTTACGGCTTTTGGAACTTAAGGTTGAGGGTTTTGGGGAGGTTTGAGGGTTTAGGGGCTGTTGGGGTTTTGGGTGTACTGTAACCTACCAAAGCCAATTTGTTGCAGGGCCCCTATAGATCTACAAGTAGGTAACAGCAGCCTACATAACAAGTAGGTTATGGCGTTTATGGTAAGGTAGGGTTGAGGGTTTCAGAATTCGAGGGATGTTGGTTTCTGACATGCTGGTCTTTCAGGGATTTCATAGGGGTTCTAAACTCAACTCGTTATCTAGACCCAAGAGTAACCTGGGGATAAAAAGGGGTGCCCTTTTTGCAGGGCCTGCTCTAGGTCCTAGTTATAGACTGTAAAGGATTCTGACGTCGTCGGTTAGGATTCAAGGCTGTGTTGAGGCTTTTAGTTTAGGGCGAAGGTAGTTGACACGTTCTCAAGTCCCTGAGACAAGCCCCTCTACTCGTTACCCAACTTCATGCAGGTCGTTCCAGCCGAAACACAAAGAGACCGCCTCAATTAGCGCATTGAGAAGCAGGAAACTCAGAAAAAAAACAACGGAACTTACCAAGACCTGCTCAGGGTCAGCACGGAAAACTCACCTAATCCAAACGGCGCCGTTGAACTACCCGCAATCAGCGCAGTCTTAACGTCCGGTTTAGTATAGCAGCCTACATAGGTAAACTAATCTCCTAGGGCATTTTCTCAACTACATGATATATTGTACGGCGCAATCATAGGCAATCTTTTATGATGCTGTATGATATGCTACTGTGTTATATGGTATGATACTGCACCGAACATGTGGTGATAAAAAATGTATTACACCAACTTTTGTCCTATACTCTAACATGCTTTAATACAGTCTGTTATATGGAATGATGCAGTACTATGTTATGTTGTATCATGGTATATTAGACCATAGATGGTGTTAAATCAGATGTGATGCTTTATTGTGCTATAGCGGGTTAAGCTCTAATATACTGTGTTAGGAAGTATTGTACTATATAACAGTGCAGTATGATGTGCTAGGCTATACTATACGACTTTGCAGTACAATACATTACATTTCATTGCTTCAATGTATCACGTAACCTAGTTTTTCTGATTAAACTGTGTCGTCTTACCGTTCCTATTAATTCCCATTTTAGTATACTCTATTATATAGTACTCCATTACATTAAACTATATCGTATGTTTTAATATACTGTATTGCAATGAGATATTACAGTGTATTTTACTATGTTATATTGCATTTTGGTGCAGCGATTCTACTAATTATACAATATGAGATGATTATGATGCATTACGCTGTATCATACTACAGTCTGCAAAATTATGTAACAAGGCTGTATGTGCATTCTGCATTTACTTGGCATTAACAGACAACTTCTACCTCCCAAGTCTTAAACCCTACTGAGAACAAGGCAGTGAAGGATGAAGCTCCATGCGCCCAAGTAGTTGGCAGCAGAAATCCTCCACACCTCGGCCCAACAGTCCAGTTGAGGGGTTTCAGGGTTAAGGGTCATGGGCCAAAATTTGGAGAAGCGCCGCGGGAGCCCACAAGCTCTACATGGGTAGCCGTCAAACTTAGGGTCCCTATTTTGGGTCCTTAATTTATAACGGCACCTAATATTTAGGGTACCCAAAAAGGGACTCTGGTTGAATACTACCCACATGCTTCTTGTCCCAAACTTTTGGAAGCTTCGTGTTTCAACACTTGCCACTGGGTGAAATTTCTGCCTGCCTTTCGGATCTGGAAAAGTTGGCCCGTGGGATTCGAGGGTTCCTTTAAGGGTTCCGTAAGGGCCTGTTCAAGGGTTTAGGGGTTTTAGGAGCTCAGGGGTTTAGGGTGTTGAGCTTCTGTAGCCTATTTTTGGTGTAAAGCTTTCAAACTATCAATCGCGGACATGGGAGAAGAACAGAACAGGCTGGAGCCCCGCCAGCCACCTGCGTCTCCAGGAAGCCAGCAGCACCAAGCTTTGCCAGTGACCCGGCCAACAGCCCCTGATGATGGCTTGACAATGGTGGGAGGTTTGGCTTTAAGGTTTGGGTGTGAGGCTAAAAACAAACCCGACTAGTGAAATGAGCCTGAAAAGTAAGGGCACTATACCCATATACTATGAATCCCTACAGGGTAAATGAACCTTAAACCCTTTTAGGGTTCATTTGGTCCTTAAGGAAACCCGACTAGTCTAGGAGGGCCCTAACCCACGCAAAACACATCTCGATCCTCAAGTTTAGGGGTTTAGGGTTTTGAGAAGTTTACATCTCCAGCTCCAAGTATCCAGAATCACACTGAATCCTCAGACTGACCACGAAGCAGACTGAGCAACCCCCTGAGCCAATTGAGGAGCAGAACTTTCGAAGTGAGCCTAAACAGAGCTCAGGCTTGCCACTGTCTCAAAAGCAGAAGCACCACTAGCTCAAGGACAGGTCCGACATTCTCAACACCTGAGAACTAGCCAGATATCAGGCTTGGTTGAAACCCAAAAACCTGATCAAACAAAGAAAAGTGCTATTATCACGATCAGTGCTCATGCATGTATATCAAACGGATTTCCGGACTAGATCATGGAACCTGAAATATTTTCTGAACAAACATGGCTGCTCGAATGCTGGCCTGACGAGCCAGGTCCTGGACGATGGGTGTGGTTAAGACTCACAAACCCAGGGTAAACTTAGAACAGCGTTACGGGGAATCTGCATCTGTGTCGAGGATACAGTCTGCCTACTTGCAGCTGCATCAAGGTGTCCCTCTGTGACCAGTCAAGCAGTCGGAACCTGGAACCCTCTGTCTGTGACATGGCCTTGCGCACTCGCTCGTCTCGCTGAATGTTCCAAGGGAAATTCAGTGTGGAGTTTTCTGCAAAGTCAATGTGGTCCAGGCCCTAAACCCTGAACCCTAAACCCCTGAAACCCTAAACCCTCAACCCGTAAACTCCTGAAGCCCTAAACCCTAAACCCCTAAAGCCCTACACCCTAAACTAAGCTTGAAGGCTTCTGTCTTGCTGGCACCTCCGCCAGTAGGTGCCGGCCCGGGCTTGCGAGACTCCCACGGTGCAGTTGGGACAGCCACCCGTACCTGTAGGTAGTATTATTAGGGAGACCGCTTAAAGGGTTTAGGGGTTTAGGGTTTAGGGGTAAGGGTTTAGGGTTATAGGGGTTTAGGGTTTGGTACCCCTTCTGAACCCTACTTCTGGCTCTCAAAAACGGGGCCTTGTTGAGAGGGTCTATATCCTCAAGGGTCCCCCTAATTAATCCTACGGCTGATGATATAAATCCTGCATGACCCATAACAAAGAAAATACCATAATTCCCATAGTTCAGGGTCCTTAAGGTAATTCAGGGTTTCTATCATCAACTGTAACTCCCAACCTGGGCGTTGTTCAGACCGAAGCCTCCAGGATGCAAGTGATATTGGGGCCTCAGTCATTACCTCTACTGTTTTTTATTTTGGGGTCCCTTGTTAGAGTTATAGTAACTATAGTTATAGTATAATGCCACCCCAAAACCCTATTCTAATAGTTAAGGCTTCTATATTGCTCATAATATGGTGCAACCGTCCTATGCAGTTAAATTTTCAAAGCCTTAAGATACGCAAAACCTAACTTGAAGACTTGCTTGGCATTGATATTGGGTACCGAGATTGCTGGTTTGGGATCCCTGAAGGGACCTCTCCGACACACAGGGAGGGTAGTAAGACTTTTGGGCTTATAGTTTCAGGTTCTGTGTTTGCCCTAAACCCTAAACCCTACCTTAACCCTGAAAAACCTACCTTTTTAGGATTCCTTATTATGGTTTCCATAAATAAGTCCTTAAAAAGGTAGGTCCTTGAGGGTTAAGGTACACCCTAAACCCTCAGGGCATAGCGTTTTGTATAACTTCGGGGAGTGTTTCTCTCGCGCGACCCGAGCTGGAGCCGAATTTGCATCCCGGAAACAAATCTCAAGATGAAGACACCCAGACCTTCCAAAATCCTTTAATTAAGGAATATACCTTAAATCATATTAGGGACTCTACTATATTTAAGGTATATTCCTTAATTAAGGGATTTTGGAAGGTCTGGACATCTAAAGCTGGGATCTGCCTCCCCCTTGGAACCATAATAAAAATAATGTGCTCAGTATTCTGTTGGGATTTATATAAACGAAAATTAAAAATAATTCCTAAGGAGACTACAGATAAGCCCTAGACCATAAACGCATTCGGATGGTCTGATTATGTCGACAATGACATGACACGGTCAGGACTGTTAGCATGGTTGCCCTTACACCGCTGATGTCTAGGCTGCGAATGCGCCAACAATGCTAATCATTGCAACTTTATTTCTTTAACCTCGATAACCTGAGCCCTGGCATGCGATTGCAAGTGACCCTTAGTCTTTTGTCTTTGAATGAGAGGATTGCAAGGGTTAGGGTTTACTCAGAAATGGACTTCGCGAGAGACTGTGGACATGACAGGCCCCGCTCCCTAAACCCTAAACCCCCAAACCCTAAAACCCCCAAACCCCTAAACCCTAAACCCCCAAACCCCTAAGCCCCAAAACCCCTAAACCCTAAACCCCATTTTCTGGCCAAGCCGCGTGGCTTTGAGCAGCTGCGGATCCTCGCGCGAGTGCCAAGTGTCGCAGTCCCAATATCATTTACAATTAGGTCTCTCTCTCTCTCTCTCTCTCTCTCTCTATATATATATATATATATACAGTCAACAATAAGGGACATGAACAGATATCCCGAATCGATACCTGGATTGCTATGCTTGACAATCGTGCTTAGCCTAGTCTCTTGGGCTTCGAGTAAACCATCCGCAGTTCAATGGAACGCATGTTAGAATGAACCATCCATTGAAGAAGCGACACACAGGCAACAAGTTATTCGCCCTCAGATTATTGATTCCAGAAACATGCTCTGTTCATGTATATTAAGCTGTTAGAAGGACAGAGATACGGATAGATGGATGCATGAATGGATGGATGGATGGATGGATGATGGACGGATGGATGGATGGATGGATGGATGGATGGACGGATGGAATGATGGATGGAATGATGGATGGAATGATGGATTGAATGGAATGGACGGATGGTTGGATGGAGGGAGGGAGGGATGGATTCATAGACGAGGTAGATGGAAAGGTTGATAGACAGGTAGATATGTAGATGGATGGTTAGTAAGATGTAAAGATAGGTGGTTTGATAGGTAGAGAATCAGATAGCTAAATACATGGATCGACAATAGACAGATAGTCTGCATTGTCCGCATGAACATACTGTATATATATATATATATACATATGTACACACATGAACAGAATACATAAACAATGCACTATATACAAATACAACTACCTCTCCACTATATGCATATATAGATATACAGATATACATATGCATGCATGCATGCATGCATGCATATGTCTATATGAATGCACACAAACACATGTGCATGTCGACAACGATGTGGTCGTGAGCTGGGTCTGTCACAACAGAAAATCAAACAGAATATTTGTGCAGATATGTAGGTAATGCCACCAAACAAACACATGGCTACACACAAATTTATCCAACCTCGCATGCCCTTTTCCTTTGTTGAACCAACGATCCATAGTTATTCACATGTGTCTCTCAACATGTAAGGGCCGTATGGCTATCCACTGCACACAGGGAGAGTTGTAACTCTGAGTGTAGGCACTTATCTGCAACTCTTCGAAAGCCATATGGGACTGCTTGCAGTTGTACCCTCCCTACACTGACCACTACGGCCCTTTGCAACCTACAACTCCTACACCTACGACGGAGATGACGTGGACGACCATCATCCTAGTTGCTCAGTTCATAGGCCCCAAAACGTGTACACTTTTAGTTTTATAGTGGGTAATATTGTCCCAGACGTGCAAAGTGTATCCACTCAGCTACTAAGTCATCGCTCGCATCACGATCGCAGTGTTGGGAGCTTGACAGCTTGTCGGCTTGGAGAACTTCGCGTCTCACGACAAGATTGCAGGTGAGCTTGTCGAGCGCTGGGTTAGGGGTCGAAGGCTGGAGGCGTTAGGTTCAGGGCTGTGGGATACCAAGCGGAACGTCTCGGGTTGCAGTGGGAAGGACTGAAGCTCGACCGACTTTGCGGATAGAATGATAATCAACCTTCCCCCAACCGCAGCCCCAAGCTATGAGAGTTAGCGCATGTCAGTCGCAGACCACGTCCTGCAGCGCATGCCTCGCGCAGGCGTTCAGCACAACAAGCAGCGCATGCAGAAGACTCTGAAGCTCTGCTCCTGCAGAAATGCCGATAGGATTCAAGGTTTAGGCCATAGCTTTGCAGTTTAGAGCTTTAGCTTCGGGTTTAGGGCTGCTTGCCAGGGCATCAGCGGAATTTCTTGCAGTTGAGGATTCTGGACGTCTTTGGGGTGCCTTTATGCCATGTGCCTCGCTTCCGCTCACAACCCCGCACTATTGATGCCCTACAATAACAATGACATAACCCACATAAGCTCTCAGTTCCATGTATTTGCCAGGGTGGTGCAGGGTCGTGGCTAACTCCGAACATTCGAGACCTCAACCCCGCCAGATTGAAATGCAAAACCTAAACCTAAAACATATAGAAATTGAACGGCTGGCACCGGGTATCGATTTAGGTCCTGCGCACGACATCCAGAACGGATGTAAGAATGTGTTCATGCATTGATGTATGTATGGATATCTGTAGCGATGGATATCTGAGGGTCTACGGTCCACGGTTTGGTGTTTCTATACAAACGTCTTCGAGAAGTCTTCTTTTGCAGAGACAAGGGACTCCCCGCCCAAAGCCCCAGAAACACAAGGATGCCAGACTTGAGGCATCATACAGGCCCTAGACCTTTTACATGCTTGCTTCTTGAGCGCCTTTGCTCTGAGGCTCGAGATACACACAACATCACAGAACTATCTACTAGGGGTTGGACGTTGCCGTAAACATCCTCCAACCTTTTAGACACCTGAGTGCTTGCTACCGTACTTAAAGGGTCCTGGGACTTGTTCAGCAACTAGGTAACTAGGTTGTGAATAAGGTAACCAAATCTATAGCATGTACATATAATGCAGGGTACTTATAACCTTACTTACTAAGTACCCTAAACCCTAAACCGCTAAACGGTTGCCATTGAGACAGGATGCGGCCACCATCCGGCGGCGCTTCTTCGAGGAGTGCCGCTGCCTGGCCGGTCACAGCGCCCCAGGCGGCCTGCGTTGGGTCGCTTTTTTGGGGGGGGGGGGGGTCGGGCAGCGTTTAGGGGTTTAGGTTTTATGGGTTCAGGGTTCATTGATTTAGGGTATAGCGGTTACGAGTTCAGGGTTTAGGGTTTGGGGTTTGGTGACAAGCCCACCACTCGAAGGCATCCGGTTGGGCCAACTAGCCTCTGCAGAGTTAAAACCGGTGTGGTGCAGAGCACGGAGCTCTCTGCGAACTGCAGCGAAAAACCGCTACCCATTTTGTGTGTTATGACCCACATCCCCCCCCCCTCCGAAAATCCACAGAAAACCGAAGCCGTGAAAAAACATCCGGGCTCCGAACCTCGTCAGTGCAGGCAGCCTCAGGACGCCGGCGATTCGCAAAGGGGATTTGGGTTTAGGTGTTTAGGGTCTATAGGGTTTAGGATTTAGGGTTTAGGTGTTTAGTGTTTCGGGTTAGGATTTCTACTAATATTCGTGTTCTAAGTAATGTCTTGTTTGCTGTTGCAATGAGTGTCATCGTTATGATGAGCTTTGTTGGTACTGTGGTTGTTGAAGAGCGGTTGTAGAGTTAGAGTTCGAACCTTTGTGTTATAGCTGTTCGAGTTTGAAGCAGATTTTGGAGCTTCCTGCTTGCGACCAGGCAGTCGGAATACCATCCCAAATCGGAATATCAACAAACTCGCAATGCCACGGGCCCAGGCCTTGGACCCCAAACCTCTGAACTTAAGAAGCAAGAGACTCCTAAAAACCAGGAATCCGAAACCCCTAAAGTTAAGAAATGAAATCCTTTAACTTCTGGGATATGTCAAAAAGATAAATAAAACCAAAATAAAAGCAAACAAAAACCAAACACGTACATCTAGCCAGTAACCACAACAACGAACAAAAACAAAACAAAAACAAAGCAAAAAACAACAAACATGCAACAACATCATAGAGAGCAGGTGGGAGGCCTTGTTTTTTTGATTTTGTTCCTAGGTTTTGTTTTGCTTTTTTCCTAGGAAAAGCAAAAAAGTAAAACAAAAAAAAGGTCCCTAGGAAAAAAAAGCAAAACAACAGCAAAAACATACCAAAAAAGAATTTCCCAAGGCCTCCCACCTGCTCTCTATGATGTTGTTGCTTCTTTGTTGGTTTTTCTTTTGTTTTTTTTGATATTTGTTTTGTTTCTTTATCTTTTTGTTGATTTCCAGAGGTTACCGTGTTTTGAATGTCTTAACCCTAAAGGTTTAGGGTTTAGGGTTGACACACTCATCGGAGACCCTAGAAGCCCTGCGCCGCCTTGCTCAGCGCGCTTGCAGCCGTCATTAGCTCCGAGGCAGACAAACCCGACAACCTGATGGCATTCTCTAACCCTAAGGCTCTGAGGACTCATATTTTAAGGCTTTTGGGCTTAAAGACCATATTATATAAGGCTTTTGGGCCATTTTGAGCCTTAGGGTAAGGCTCCATGCACACGAATAGTATATGGGAGTTTCCGAAAATTAAGGATACCGTATTTTGGGGTCTTTATATAAAGGATCCTACTAGGTCCTACTATTTAGGGTACTCCATTAGGGCCCCCTATTTTCGGAAACTCCCATATACTTTGGCCCCAAAGTACGTATATAGGGACTACTTTACACCAAAGTAAATACTATTTGGGCACGTGGACCCTGAGGGATATGAGCTTCCGACCAAGCCCTACAGGTCCAAATGGGCTTCAACTACGTTCAGGGTTTCGGGTTGAGTGAACCTAAAGGCTCAAGAGCTCAACACTTAGGTACTGGTGGTTCATGAATTGGCCCACGCAGGTTAACTTACAAGGGTTGGGGGCGCATGCGAGGTATGAGGCCTTTCACCTTGCGAACCAATGCTTCAAATTTCAATCTGCTGTCGTTGCTTTCGAGGTCGAAGGTACCAGAGCAGTAAACCTCTAAGCCTACAGCCTACATGAATATTGCCTCCCCTCAACACCAAACCCTAAGCCCCAAACCCTAGACACTAAACCCCGAACCCCAAACCCTAAACCCGGAACTTCACTTCACTTCACTTCGCTGCGTAACGGTACTAGTCCTGTGCAAACAGACAAGACGGCTCCAAAAGCTGGCCGAGGCCAGCGAGCCTGGAAAAACGGGCAGCTTACAGGCCCTACGTGCAAGGTGAAACAGGACGAAAGGTGGCACGTCGCCAACCGGGACACCGAAGTCCGCAGGAAGGACCAACGCACCGACAGCGAGTGGAGCCAGGCAAAACAGGCTCAACACTCGACAGACGAGCAGGGCCCCCAGGGAAGGAAGCGACGCTGCTCAACCACGACCCAGGAAGTTAGAGTCGTTGGTGGTGTGCAGCCAGCCGTCTAAGACGGCTTGACACAAAGAAATCGGGGGCTGGAGCACACAGAGGTGCTGCAACAGCAAAGAACAGGCGCGCACACTGCCGCCCAGCGAGCCGAAGCGCGAGCGGCACCGGCGCAGAAAAAGCACTAGCAAGCCCAAGCCAAACCACCGCCCAGCTGGCCGAAGCGCGAGTAGTGGTTTGACCAGAAAACACTAACATTGAACTGCCAGGAGCTCAGAAAGCCGGGCGGGAGCGAAGACTCTCCCAGATGCCCTGCCATCTCCAACCCGCTTCTTCGATCGCTAGAGCAATCGTCGTGCATGCCGCAGTACAGGCGGGATGGCCAATCCCGAAGCAAAAAGACGACAAGCAGGAGGCGCAGCACACCGGCAGAAGTATCACACACACGACACAGTTTACAACCACGCCAGGGAGAGCTCAGCCGCAATGCCGGAAGGATGGCAAATCCCTTCGCAAAAAGCCGACGACGACTTAACAAGGCAACCACACCTTCGAAGTAAGGCACCTTAGTGTATTCCACCTGCAAGTGGAAGAACAGGTCACAAGCGGAAGAGCTTCGCGAGGCTCTCGTAGACAAATCAGTCCTGCGGAGGCTTCAAAGGGCAGCAAAGACCTTCTGACACAAAAAGACCACGACCACGTCGGCAGTCTCCGCAACCAGGAGAGTGTTTCCTGGCAGAGCTCCCTTGGCCTAGCAAGGAGAGCTTGGCGCTAGGTATGAAGGCACGAATGCGGAACCTAGCTGGGGTCTGGTGCTCCCTGAGGAAATGCCACTCCGCGAGGAGAAAGCTTCCCAATCAGGGTCTAAGCCGAGACGCCTTAAACCCGGAACCCCAAATCCTAAACCCCAAAGCCTAAACCCCAAACCCCAGACCCTAGACCTTAAACACCGAACCCCAAACCCTAAACCCCGAACCCTGTACCCTCAACCCAACCTGGGCTAGCGGTCCGGCTCTGCACGAACTAAACATCGAAGATTCGACTGTAGCCTTCAAGTCGCTGACAAAACACAGACTTTCTAGACTCTATATGGATTTTTGTCAAAATTACGGTCCCTTTTTGGGCACTTTAAATAGTAGCTGCCGTATTATATCAGGGACCCAAAAAAGGGACCATGATTTTGACAACCACCCATATCGTACTTGCTTTTTGGTTTAACCAACTTCATAAGTGCCCAAGTGTATATATCTGTTCGAGAGCCACATCCTGCGAATCCTCGAGGACATACTCCAAGCCCCAACTTGGGTCCTATAAGCGAACCCATAACAAGGAGCTATGATGGACACCATACGGGCTGTCTACTTGAAGGATTAGGGGACTTAGTAAGTAGGGTTATAAGCCCCCTAATATGGGTTATAACTATAGTTATCCTACTTATAACCCTACTTATAACCACCCATGAACCTCCAAGTAGATTCAAGCTCGCAATGTCAAGTCAGCTGACCTTCTACGATGAGAACGGTTCGATGTTGCGGCTCTGCAGGAACTGGAAACATTTTGATGGTCAACTCTGTCTGCCGAAGCCTTAACCTCCCCCTTGAACCGCAAATTCAAGCTCGCCGGACTGCAGTGGAATTTCTTGGATAGCTGGCGTAATTGACGATTCTGATCCTGAAGCAACAAGGTAGCTCAAACAAGCTACTTACTTCATCCGGAACCCCCAAACTTCCCCAAACCCTAAGTTCTAAACCCTAAACCTAAACTCTAGACTCGAAACCCTAAACCTAGACTCTAGACTTTAAACCCTAAACCTAAACTCTAGACTCGAAAACCTGATCCCGAATTGGGCTCTTATCCCCGACCCCAAGCCCTGGCCTGCTTCCAGATGCAAGCTCCTCAGGGAGCAATGGAGTATCATGTTATTTAGGGGCCTTAAGACTACCACGGTTGGTGATATAAATCCTGCATTACCTTAAAGGACCCTAAACTATGGGAATTATGGTATCCTTATTATGGGTCATGCAGGATTTACATCATCAACCGTACTACTACGACTTCTGCTGCTGCTGCTGCGATTACCACAGCTGCTGCTGCTACTACTAGTACTACTACTAGTACCAGTACTCCCACTTCTATTTCTACTACTTCTACTAATTCTGCTGTTACTGCTACTTTTGCTACTTCTACGACTGCTGCTGCTACTTCTACCGCTACCCCTACTACTACGGATTATGATGATGCCACGAATAATTGATAATCATCAAATGGTTTTGGTGTATTGTAGTGGCATTACAAAGGGCCTGCAACGCAATAGTATTACTAATTACTGGAGCTACTTCGGGCGGCACAGCTACGGTTGCAGCTTTAGCTTAGGCATTGCGCTCGGGGGCCTCAAAAATGAGAATAGGGTTTTGGGACCCGTGACACTATACTTATAGTAAGGACCCCCCAAAAGAAAAAAATAGCACAGGTTTTTTTTTTAAGGCCGCCATAGATAACGCACAATATGACGGGGATCCCAGGTCTAGAAGCCAAAGGCAATGGTCAGGTTCCAGCCATATGCCACCGATTTCGGTGAGATGGGCCGGGAGGTTGACAGGAAGGCGGCCACACGTGGGCCCCGCCTTCGGTTGTCCTGGTGGGAGGACGCGGCCTCGCTTTGGGACCTCTCGTAGTGAACTTCGCGGTCTTGACAGTACGCCCAGATTAGTAACTTGTTGGGCAGGTTCTGCTCCGTGCTCAAAGCGTTGAAGTCGGTGTGACTGCAGTTTGACAGCGCGGGCGCGGGCGGTTTAGGGTTTCGGGGTTTAGCTTATAGGGCTTGAAGGGTTTAGGGGTTTAGTGTTTAGGGTCCACTACATGCTACGGAGATCACGCTTATGTAGTTCCAGTGCAGGAGAACTTGAGAATTCGCAGCCAATCGTCAACAAGTTCAGATTCGTCTGATACTCACTTTCGTCTGATGCAAAACATCTCATCAAAAGATCAGCCATATTGACACTGGGAAAGCAACATGATCTCAAGCAACTTGAATCCCTAAAGCCCCGAAGCCCTAGAACCCTAAACCTAATAATTACCCTGAAGCCCCTATACACCCTAAGCCCTAGGGGTTGCTCTTTCGTTGTGCTTGGGTTTAGGGTTTAGGGTTTAGGGTTTAGGGCTTTCACACAACACAAGGGTATCGTCCATACTTAACCATGCAGCACAACCCTTATCACAGCCCTATCCTAAACCCTTTTGAAGCCTACAAGCTTTCCAAACCCCTGACGCCCAAGCCCCACCTCTAAAAAGCGGAGTTAATTTGGGGGGCATTATTTTAATATTCAGAATCAACAGCCATACGGAATTCTATTGTTAACTATTCAGGCATCTATATACATTACAACTTAAATTCCCGAGAGCCCCAGACACCTATCAATGTAACTCTTAAACAATAAACCCCTAAACCCTGAATCCTTAATCCACGCTTCCAACCCACCCCCTAAACCCTAAAACCCGAAACACTAAATGCACACTTTCAATCCATCCCGTAAGCCCTAAACCCCTAAACCCTAAATGCACACTTTCAACCCACCCCCTAAACCCTAAACCCGAAATCCACACTTTCAATCCCTCCCTAAGCCCTCAACCCCCTAAACCCCTAAACCCTAAATCCACACTTTCAGTCCATCCTGGGAAAGCAGCGCGAGCAAGGCGTGAAAGAGGCTGTCACTAATACCCGAGCCGGGCCGGTCACCTTGAAGCAAAGGGGAAAAGGATGGACCCTTAGTTTAGGACTCTTAGGGTTCCTTTAAAGGGATCTATAGGGATTCTATAAGGGTATAGGGTTTAGGGTTTAGGAGTTTGGGGGTTTAGGGCGTTTAGGGGAAGAGGAGGGACCCTTAATGGGGACCCCTACCCCATAATGGGCTATATGATGGGTATATAATCGCTATATTAAAGGTATACCTAGGGGTCCTTATTAAGGGTCCCTCCTTTTCCCCTTGGACTTGAAGGCTTGGAGGTGTTGCAAACCCTAAGGGTCCATG